TTTTAAATATATTTTTATTGACTTCAGAGAGGAAAGGAGAGGGAGAGAGTGATAGAAACTTCAGCGATGAGAGAGAATCATCAATCAGCTGCCTCCTACTGGGGACTGAGTCCACAACCCGGGCATGTGCCCTGACCGGGAATCGAACCTTGACCTCCTGGTTCATAGGTTGATGCTTAACCACTGAGCCTTGCCAGCTGGACTATGATTGCATGTATTGATGCTATAAGGTTATAAATGAAGGCTCTTTTATCTAGTCACATCTGGCTTTCACATGTTAAGTAGACAGGATTCTGTACGTTGTTTTGTGTGTGTTGTTTAGAAATGAGAGGATAATTGTTACAGACATTGCTTATACATCAGGATAGAGTAGAGCTGACCTTTCATTGGAGCCCTGCATGTTTTAGAAAAGCAGTGATCACTGATTTGAACTGGGAATTCAGGAATCTACTGAGCCCGTGCGAAACAACAGCCTAAGCCCCTAAAGGACTCTCTTTGTCCAGCTTTCCCTACACCCGGTTCACGGGTGGAAATACTTACCATTAACTCACTCAATAACCATTGAGGACTAAGAACAGTTACAGATATTAAAAAATAAGACTGTTTTCAAGAAAAACTAAATCCTATGCGACAGAAAGTGGGATTATTGACCTAAAAGAACACCAGGCGATACCACTTCTTACATTTTTAAACATTGTTTTCCATTTCAGGGTCTCCCTTTAGTGAAAAAGCTGTACCCTTTGCCATGCGTTTTTATACTCAGTGTGGATAAATTTTCTATTCTAGTAGTCATTATGGAAAAGAGGGTCTTCATATAAATACATGCATCATGTATCCTAGGACTATGGTCTTTCTCTAACACACACACACTCTTGGTGTTAGTATCTGGCATGTAAATACATACATTACCTCTTACATTCACAAATGGTGCTGTCCTTCAAGGGATAGCATCCTATCATTCTAGCAGCGTAATGTACTAATAGCCAGTGGCATACTCACAGTTAAAAATAGGTCAGACGACAGGTTCCTAACCTATATTTAGAGGTTTTGAATGGTAGGAGAAAAGATGGATAAGGAAATCTATTCTTCTTGTTCTATAACTCATCCAGGCCAGAGTAACAGGGACTCAGAGAGTTGTCACCTGATGCGTCACTTACCCACACAAATTAATGAGATTAAATTTCTTAGATGGGACTTGATATGGCATTAGAAACACAATGGCCACCTTTATTTTGCTTTAGAACATTGTGACATGCCCATATTTGAGAATGCCAGAGCCGTAATCACCGGAAGACCATTTCGACTCAATGACACGTTGGACTACCAATGCCTGGATGGCTATGAAAACAGAGATGGAAGCACCAATGGCTCCATGGTGTGTGGTGAGGACGGCTGGTCCCACTTGCCAACCTGCTTTAGTAAGTATTTTGATTCCAGCTTTTCCTTTTCCAAGAGCTGAAAAGTCTACATGTATGTTGTCCTTGCTTGAGTGTGGGTGATCTAAGGCATTTTGAACCACATGGTGGTTACAAGGTTTAAAATGCAAAAAAGGGACAATACTTCCTGTGCAGCTTTAGGTGCCCAAGCAATATCCGTTCCAAACATTAGTTTCCAATAAAACTATAATTTTCTCTTCAACAGCTAAAATGCTCTTTTTCAGAATCTGAAGACAAGTGTGGGCCTCCTCCAGCGATTAGCAATGGAGACATCACCTCCTTCCCATTGGAAGTGTACCCTCCTTGGTCAAGAGTGGAATACCAATGCCAGGCCTACTATGAACTCCGCGGTCCTACAGATGTCATCTGTAGTTATGGAAAGTGGTCCAAACCCCCAAGATGCATAGGTAAGTTCTCAAGATTCTTCTAGATCCTGAGACCATGAGGGTGATGTTTATGAGCCGGTGTGTGGTCTACCAGTCATGCAGTCAGAGTCTAGAACTGTGCTCACCAACAGCTCTCCTGCTCAATGTTTCACATCGGAGGCTCGTGTGTAGGGCTATGAGCTTGGAGACTCCCTATGTGAACAATGAAAAGGTCCTTTAAACAGGAACATTGGGAGAGGCTGATTCTCATACATTAACTGACTCCACTGTGGACCCTACCTGACTCATCCTCTCCTGTGTATGTGTCCCCTTCTGCGGGAGATTACAGCAAACCCAGTAAGTCCAGGACCGGAAATCAAAGTTAATATACCCAAGTCAGAATAGTCTAGAAATAGTGCCAGCCTAGAGTTTATGGGAGGGAAAGTGTTGCATTTCAAAGATAAATTCTAAATCTGAAGTTGGATTGACTGAGTAGATGGACAAGTCTAAGAGGAATTTCACAGCGCAAGCAATATCGTTCCAAACATTAGGACGAGAAAGCAGCTATCATTCTCTGAGGACATAAAATCAGTTCCGTGATAGAGGTAACAAACAAGCAAAAACTCATAGACACAGACAACAGTATGGTAGTTACCAGAGGGAAGGAGGTAGTGGGATAGTAAAGGATCAAATATATGGTGACAGGAGATGTGACTTTGCGTGTTGGGCACACATTGCAATATACAGATGATGTGTTATAGAACTGTGCCCTGGAAACCTATATAATTTTATTAACCAATGTCACCCCACTCAATTGAATCCAAAAAAAGAAATTTAGCACAGTTAGCATGTAATACTTTCTACAATGCAATAGCACCTTGCCTGCAGAAAATAGACAAGGTTGTAAGCAATATAATAATATATGAAATGATGCTTACAGTCACATTGCAATAGCCATAAACTAGTACCTCCCTCACGTCACTAAAAAAAACTTTCTGAAGAAGAAAATATTTATACTGATTTTATAGATAGGGGCACAGGGGGATAGTGACGTAGAGAAATGTGTTCGTAATCAAGCTGGGATTCTAAAATTCTCTGTGTACTAGTATATAACCTTGCATCCATCCATGCAGACTGCCTTTACCATGAAGAATGAAGATTAGATAGATGATAGATAGGTAGATAGATAGATAGATAGATAGATAGATAGATAGATGGATAGATAGATAGATATGATAAATGGATGTGGGTAGGCGGGTGGATGGATGGATAGATTGATATAGAGATATAAAAATATATTTCTATATATCAAATATATATAGTTATATTTTTATAGAATATTTATTAGAAATTTTGTGATTTTCTATGGTTCTCTTTCCCCATTTTGTGGGCATAAGAGAAAAATATTAGCATTGTTTAACCCAGTGGAAAGTGACTAAACTGGGAGCATTTGGAGCCATTGCCAGTTGAGTGGGAAGTGGACAAGGAAGAACCATGGCAACCATAGAGCAGGCTCCCATGTCCACTGGACAGGAGGTCACCTTGTGGATGCCCCACATCCCAGAGACAGAGAGCCAAGGCCCTGGGGTCACACTGCCCGTCCACGCTCATCGTCCACCTGATGAGCTCTGTGACCTTGGACAGGTGTGCCTGACCTTCCCTTCCCCTCAGCTTCCTGGTGTGTGAGGAGGAGCGGCTGCCTGCTGAGGAGCTGTGAGGGCCCACAGACCGGGGCGGAGAACAGGACTCGGCCCACATTGATGATGTACATGAGCTCTTTCCATTACTTCATCCTCTAAGCTAGTCATTGGGTTGTAGGCTTATTTGTTTATGAAAGGAAAGATTACTAATTGTTTTTATTCATTTCTTCTACTTTCAGATCCATGTGTAATATCAGAAGAAATCATGAATGAAAAGAACATTCAGTTAAAAAGGAAAGATAACAAACGCTACTATGTAAAAACAGGAGATACCGTTGAATTTAGGTGCAAATCGGGACGCAAGGCGGTGACGTCGAAGGAGTCATTTCAAGCCATGTGTCTGGAAGGGACAGTGCAGTTCCCCAGATGTGAATGAGGAAGCCCTGTGGCCCCAAATATGTGGCCAGTCCCACCTACTGCTCTTTGCTCAAAGCTTGCCAGGCTTCTGGCATTTCCTGCTCTTTCCCACTATATTTCAAAGGACATAAAGGCAATGTGTTAGCCTCTTTTTCACTTTAAAGAAAACAATATCATTGCTTACACTTGTACCAAGACAATAATTATTCACCATCGTAGGATTAGACTACTTGCCAATGGATCAATAAACAGCAATGGAGGTAAAGGTGTGGCTTTCTGCCTATTGAACTGGATGCTTAAACAATCAGTATATATCTTAGAATGTACTGGGGGAAATAGTACAATCAAAAATGAGATGTTAACATAGTAAGTGAGCCCGGCAGGCGTGGCTCAGTGGTTGAGTGTCAACCTATGAACCAGGAGGTTGTAGTTTGATTCCAGTCAGGGCACAGGCCCGGGTTGCGGGCTCGATCCCCAGTGTGGGGCGTGCAGGAGGCAGCCAATCCATGCTTCTCTCTCATCATGGATGTTTCTCTCTCTCTCCCTCTCCCTTCCTCTCTGAAATCCATAAAAATATTTTTTTTAAATGTATAAAATAGTAAGTGAAAATAACTCCTTTACAATAGCCCCTCACTGGAGTCAGAGGGCGGGTCCCTGGACTGAAGAATCGCTGAGGGGAGAGGCAGTTTTCAGTCTGTTTCCATGGGTGAGGTTTTACAGAGTCAAAGCATCGCTCTTCTATTCGGCAAAAGAATCGGTTATTTTAAACATGCGATCTTCAAAATAGCTGGTCATTCCTGTTGCTAAGTAAATATCGAAACTGACATTTTCTTTTCTCTTAAGTGGCGTTGAAGACATATTCAAACAAATGAAAGCCCCCGTCCCATGGAAACCCCGTGTGATAACTAGTCTCCAGTTGGTATTTGAGCCCCTGAACTGAAGGGTTGTGGGTTCGATTTCAGTCAAGGGCATGTAGCTCTGTTGCAGGCTCGATCCCCGGCCCCTGACTGGGCCCATGCGGGAGGCAACCAATCAATGTGTCTCTCTCACATCAACGTTTCTGTGTGTGTGTGTCTCTCTCTTTCCCTTTGTTGATGTTCTGTTTGTGAACGGTGACGCTGAGATGAGCTCGGCGTGCAGGATTGAGTTTAGAGAAGCAGAGGGCTATTGCTAGTCAGGCAAGTAGCAAAGCCCCCAAAGCTCTCATGACGTTTATTCAGGGAGTACAGCAAATCACAATGGAGTACAGCAAGTGGCAATGACTAACAGGCATCCTTATGAGATCATCAGAGCTAAGTTATACATTAAACTATTAATTTCCTATGTTATACAAAGACCCTTTCCACCTGCAGCAGTGCACCCTCCCTTGAACTTTCCATGCCCTCATGGACTATTTATCGCCTCAAGGAAAGTTCTGCCTCTGAACAGTAAGTCTTGCTTGCAAGACTTTGTTCTGACTTGGCCCGCTTGCAGGCCCCCGTCTTGTCTTGGCAGAACGTCCTCTTCTAGTTAACTTCATTCCAATTCTAGTTAACAGCTACACCCTTCCACTCTCTCTGTGAAATTCAATGGAAAAAATATCCTCGGGTGAGGATTAACAGCAACAAAAAAAAATGAAGGAAGTAAATGGACAATAGAAGGCGGAAACATTTTTATGTGAAGATCGATAATAGAACCGATGGAAGACGTGCAATCAAACTAGAAATAAAGGGACCTGTTCGGATTTTTTATTTGCAAAGAAAATGTTTATCATAAACAATTGAAATTCAAATCTTCAGGCAAGTTAAAACTTAGAGGTTTCTAATCCAACCATTTTCTTCTAAAAATTATGTTTCTCAAAGGATTTTACAATGCGCTGAAATATGGTTTTTATTTCTGCCATTCATATTTTAAAGGGCTCTTTATAATATGACATCCTGAGAGAGATAAAGTGAGAGAGAGAGAGAGTTGAAACAAGCATCATTTCTGCTTAAATATTCATTACAATCTTAGCCCTTTGATATTTCATAGAATTAGTCATTGTTTTGACTATGTTTTTATAAAGCATAAAATCACTCTTGAAAAATTATGCCACCAATTTGTTTTTATAAACTCAACGTCACTTACTAATTCACACCATTTCCCCCCATTTTTCTGTTATTTACTTATTGTTCTCTTAGGAATTAGAAAGCCAAGATACACTAAAATATTTAAACAGCATAAAGTGCATGCATTGTAGAACATGACGTTTCTGAAATTGACCAACACGATGAATCTCTTGACTAACACTATGACAAGAAAACAAAAGCCAGTTGTAGGAACAAGCCTCGTGTTACCTTCGTCTTGAAACGCATCTTGGGTATTTTAACTTCCCTCTGTCACACTTTACTCTGAGTTCCATTGCAAAAGCAGACACCTCCGTCATATAATGATTTATTTTACAGACAAACTCAGTGTACTCGCCATGCAAAATAAGTCGGCTATTGTCATAGTGCCATTTCAGAAGTAAGTTATTCCTGTCCATTTCTTCCAACGATAAGTTGCAGGGCTCTGAAAAAAAAAGGAAAAAGAAAAACACCATTACCTTGGTAGACCAGGAAGCCGTGCGTTGCCTACTCATGATGACCTGGAAGTTTCTGGGCATTAGAGGAGCAAGTAAGCTAGTTAGAGTCAGTATTTAAGTCTGAAAAAATGTTCCAAGCTCTGTCCTAGCTGGGTTGGCTCAGCGGAGGAAGGGTCAGCTGGCAGACTGAGGAGTCCCCGGTTCAATTCCAATCAAGGGCATGTACCTTGGTTACAGGCTCAATACCTGGCCCTGGGGAGGAGGGTCTCATTATATTGAGGGCAACAGCCCTGAGCAAGAGGGTCTCCATCTATTGGGGCCAATAGCCCTGGGCAGGAGGCTCTCATTCTATTGGGGCCAATAGCCGTAGGCATTAGGATCTTGTTCTATTTCGGGCAACAGCCCTGAGCAGGTGAATCTCATTCTATTGGGCCAAATAGCCCTGGGCAGGTGAGTCTCATTCTATTGGGGCAAATAGCCTGGGCCGGAGAGTCTCAATGTGTCTCTCTCACATCACTGTTTTTTTTCTCTCTCTGTCTCTCCCTCTCCTTTCCACTCTCTCAAAAGATCAATGGGAAAATATTCTGGGGTGAGGATTAAAAAAAAACAAACCAAAACATGCTCTGAGCTCACAGGAAACACCGGCCATTTTCCTCTGTGGTCCTTGGTAGATGTCATTTCCCTCCACAATGATGCCCAGCTAACAACATGTTCACTTGCTTCATCTTTCTGGAGGCAGGTGGCCATCCCTATCTTTGTTTCTAGACCGTGCTCATGTTTTCTATTATAGTGCCAATCACACTGAATAATAATCACTTATACATATACTAGAGGACTGATGCACGAAATTTGTGCATGGGTAGGGTCCCTAGGCCTTGCCGGCGATTGGGGGCCCTCACTGGCACCCACCTTGGCCGGCCTGGCACCGCTTGCTGGCCAGCCCTGATGCCCCCCCGCAATTGCCGCCACCGGTTGCCTCCCTCTGCGGGGCGACCAGGGGGGCCATTGGGAAGCCCCCCGCTGGCACCCACCTTGGCTGGCCTGGGGCCTGCGGGTTGGGGGCAGCTCCTGCATTGAGCATCTGCCCCCTGGTGGTCAGTGTGTGTCATAGCAACTGGTTGTTCTGCCGTTTGGTTGATTTGCATATTAGGCTTTTATTATATAGGATTTACTCTTAACCACCATGGCGCATTCATCTCACCCATATCACACCAGTATCTGGTGAATGGTGTATACTTAACAAGCACTTGTTCTAGCAAACTGGACCTACAGTTATTTATGATCCAGAGGAAAGAATAGAAACCCGTGGTTCAATAAGCTCTCTAACAAAATAACACGCATGCAGTGTGTGCAGCTACTCAAGGAGAACAGAAAGGGAAGAAAAGGTGGTTGTATTTTATTAAATAGGAACACATACCTAAACACACTGGCGGTTCGGTCCACACTCCATCTACACAATAGGCATATACGGGCCCTTGTAGGAAATAGTGCGTCACACACCTGTACTCCACCAAGGAACCACTTTCAAAGCTGACATTGAGGAGGTTGATGTTAAGAATGAACCCGTGATCAATACGAGGAGGAGGCCCACACTTGCCTTTGGATTCTGCAAAAATACATACAATGACTTGCTATCATCAGTACCCAGTGCTCCCGTCCTGGCTGCAAAAGACAGTGAACTATTTCATGGAAAAGCATTGACAAGGCAGCTCTCCAGCCCGGCCGGTGTGGCTCAGTGCTTGAGCGTGCCGGAGGCAGCCAATCCATGATTCTCTCTCATCATTGATCTTTCTCTCTCTTTCTCTCTCCCTCTCCCTTCCTCTCTGAAATCAATACAAATATATATATATATATATATATATATATATATATTTTTTTTTTTTTTTTTTAAAGTTAAAAAAAAATCAATGGGAAAAAAATATCCGCAAGGAGGATTAACCAAAACACAAACAAACAAAAACCCCCACAAAATTCACTGATGGAGATTCCATGATGTCGGCACCGTCATCCACCTGCAGGGTGTGTGTGAGCTGGGAAATTGATCAGACCCCTCCCGGTTCCCTAGATGGGAGGGAGAAGGTGGTGCGTGGTCTTCGGTCTGACCTGTGAACCCTGGGGGCGACCCTGACCCTGCGAGGACCCGTAGAAAGCAGGCGCTTACCTTTCCTCATGCATAAGGGGTACTGCACTTGGCCCTGAAAGCACTGCGCCGACAGCCCGGACGGTGGGCTGGATGGCGCTAGGTCAAAGCCCGGTTTGCACACAAAGTCTATGAGGTCCCCGTGCAGCACCTTCCCTTCGTACTCCCACTTCAGCTCGATGTTGCTGCTCTCCATGTCCTCCTTGCTGACCTCGCACGGCTCTGCAACACCAAGCACTCTCGTCAGTTCTCTCCTCGTCTGACTAATAGGAAAGTGAGACGTTCTTTTTTAAAAAATATATATTTTTAGCCCTAACCGGTTTGGCTCAGTGGATAGAGCGTCAGCCTGCGGACCCAAGGGTCCCAGGTTCAATTCTGGTCAAGGGCATGTACCTGGGTTGCGGGCACATCCCCAATAGGGAGTGTGCAGGAGGCAGCTGATCAATGTTTCACTCTCATTGATCTTTCTAACTATCCCTCTCCCTTCCTCTCTGTAAAAAATCAATAAAATATATTTTAAAAATATATATATATATTTTTATTGATTTCAGAGAGGAAGGGGGAGGGGAGAGAGAGGGAGAGAGAGAGAGAGAGAGAGAGAAACATCCATGATGACAGAGAGTCATTGATCAGCTGCCTCCTGCACAGCCCCCGCATATTAAGAAAAATAATAACAACAAACAATGGTATTTACGTGAGGCAGTGGCTATGCTAAGTAGCCTAACTGTGGTCGTCATCTCACAATATTATCCAAGTTTATGAAATCATCACCTCGTACGCCTTCATCTTACGCAGTGTTTTATGTCGATGGTATCGTTAAAGCTGGGGAAGCTGTTTGACACATGTCACGTGTGTTCGTCTTACCTAAGCAAAGCGGGGCGGAGGACCACAGCCCATGGTCACAGGAGGACTTCTTCTCGCCCTTCATGATGTAGTACTCATTGCATCTGTATTCCACGAAGGCTCCAGTTGGGTAACTCGGCAACACGTCGCCCACAATGACCCCATGGGTTATCTTAGGTGGATACTGACAAATCTCAAAGTTTTCTAAAAAGAAAAAGGTTGTTTTTAAAATCGATAGGAACATGCAACCGCATAACGATACGATACAGTTCCCGCACCAGGGTGCCTCGATATTGTGTCTGATAGAATTTAGACAATTGATTTCTAAATTCGCCGGAAATGAGAAATGTTATTCAGGTCAAATATCTTGAAGCAAGACTAAACAGCAAATGTTTTGGGTTTTGTTAAATATGTTTTTATTGATTTCAGCAAGGAAGGGAGAGAGGGAGGGAGAGAGAGAGAGAAACATCAGTGATGAGAGGGAATCATTGATCGGCTGCTTCCTGTATTCCCTGCACTGGGGATCGAGCCCACAACCTGTGCATGTGCCCTTGACCAGAATCAAACCCGGGAACCTTCAGTCTGCTGGCCGACGCTCTATCCACTGAACCACATTGGCCACGGCATCAGCAAATGTTTTGCCTTAGCCTGAGGATGAGTATTTTCCCATGCTTGCTTGGGAACCAATGTAGGGGATGTAGATATTCTTAAAATATCAAGAAGGGTAAGCCATGCTCTTCACCCTGACCATCAGGGTCACGTCTACACCTGTCCCCTGTCATGATCCACTTTCACTCTTTCCTTCTCATCCCCTTCCTCTCCGATCGCAATCCAACCCAGGGATGGGCATTTCCAGTGGTCTCTCTCTTTAGAGCGGCGGTTCTCAACCTGTGGGTCGTGATCCCTTTGGGGGTCGAACGACCCTTTCACAGGGGTTGCCTAAGACCATCGGAAAACACATCTATAATTACATATTGTTTTGTGATGAATCACTATGCTTTAATGATGTTCTATTTGTCACAATGAAATTGGGGGTCACCACAACATGAGGAACTGTATTAAAGGGTCGCGGCATGAGGAAGGTTGAGAACCACTGCTTTAGAGTCTTCCTCTAACTCTGCTCACATCTCTACCGTCTCTGAATCGCTTTTCTCTTATCCTATAAGTAGCCCCGGCCCACAGGTGTGGGGAGATCTCTCCAGAACTGGATGGAGACATGAGAAGGTGAACAGGGAGGGGCGATCCCAGGGGTGGCCAGGTAGCCTAAAGGGTTGTGTCCTTTAGTAAAATGGACGAGCAGGGACAAGTGTCAGAGGGCGGAGTAACATCAACAGGAGTGGCCTAAGTCAGGAGCAGAGAGCTCCATCCTAAGGTTGTAGGACATCCAGGGAGGGGAGGGAGAGCCGGGCATCCAGGGAGAGGAGGGAGAGCTGGGCATCCAGGGAGGGGAGGGAGAGCCGGGCATCCAGGGAGGGGAGAGAGAGCCAGGCATCCAGGGAGGGGAGGGAGAGTTGGGCATCCAGGGAGAGGAGGGAGAGCCAGCCATGGTAGGTCTTTTCTCTAAAGAAACACGTCCCTCTCGCACTGTCACTTCAAGATCGTAAATCACAGCATCAGGCAAGTCAGAGAGCAGTGCCTCACCCGAAGGTCCATTCAAAATTGTTTTGGAAGCCCGGCCGGCCTGGCTCAGTGGTTGAACATCGATCTCTGAACCAGGAGGTCAGGGTTCGATTCCCCAGTCAGGGCACACGCCTGAGTTTTGGGCTCGATCCCCAGTGTGGGGCGTGCAGGAGGCAGCCGATCCATGAATCTCTAACATCATGGATGTTTCTCTCCCTCACTCCCTCTCCCTTCCTCTCTGAAATCAATAAAGATATATTTAAATTTTTTTTAAGTTTCCCAGTTCCTTACATTGCCTTCAGCTCTATAGATGGCTCTCTATATTCATGAAAAAAAAAAAAACCCACAGAGGGTCTAACTCTTCTATGCAATGGCCTCTTGCTATAAAAATGTGGATTAGCCCTAGCCGGTGTGGCTCAGTGGACAGAGCATCAACCTGTAGACTGAAGGGTCCAGATTCGATTCCCCATCAGGGCACATGCCTGGGTTTCGGACTCGATCCCCAGTGTGGGGTGTGCAGGAGGCAGCCGGTCCATGATCCTCTCTCATCACTGATGTTTCTCTCCTTCTCCCTTCCTCTCTGAAATCAATAAAAACATATTTTAAACAAACAAGCAAACCAACAAAGGTGTGGCTGAAATACAGAGAATGAGCCATGAGGCACCGCAGGCTTAGCCTTGGAGGCTACGTTGCGCACCTACCGACACACTGAGGAGGGCTTGTCCACGTTCCGAGCTCACAGGTGATCTCCCGGGGGCCACGGAGGTCAAAGCCCACCTGGCAGCTGTAGGCCACGCGGTCGCCGTTGAAGTAGGTCTCGGCCGTGCCGATGGCTTCGCCGTACTTCACCTCTGGCGGCTCATCGCAGGCAATCTTGTCTGCTTCTTCTGCAAAAGGCACAGTCGCGAGAGAAGAGACCGTTTAGCGACCCACGCGGCTCTCCTGGGGGGGAGCTGGTGGGAGGCGTCGCTGACCGATGCACTTGGGGGGGTCCGTCCACTTCCCGTTGACACAGCGAATCACCTCCAGGCCCCGCAGCCGGAAGCTCAGCTGACACTCGATGAAGACGGCCTCCCCGTCGTGGTAACTGGCGGCGATGGATTTCAGTTTGGCGTGGGGAGGCAGCGGGGGAGGGGGGCAGCGAGTTCTTTTTCCTTCGGGGAAAAACATCCACACAGTCAGTCCTAAAAGTTCCCCCAAAACACCAACGCGCCAGATGTACCGTGAAGAAGGGTGGCAGACAGCCCGGCCGGTGTGGCTCAGTGGATAGAGCGTCAGCCTGTGGCCTGCAGGGTTCGGGGTTGGATTCCCATGAAGGGCACATGCCCGGGTTGCGGGTTCCTGCACGGGGGCGTGCAGGAGGCAGCCGATCAGTGATTCTCTCTCATCATGGATCTTTCTATCTCTCTCTCTCCCTCTCCCTTCCTCTCTGAAATCAATAAACATATATATTTTTTTAAAAGAAGAAGAAGAAGTATGGCGGAAAGGATCGCAGACAGCCCTAGTCCGTTTGGCTCAGTGGATAGAGCGTTGGCCGGCAGACTGAAGGGTCTCCGGTAGGATTCTGGTCAAAGGCAAGTACCTGTAGGTACCTCAGCTGCAGGTTCGATCCCTGGCCTAGTGCAGGCGGCAACCAATCAATGTCTCTCTCTCTCTCTCTCTCTCTCTCTCTCTCTCTCTCTCTCTCTCTCTCTCCCTTCCTCCTTACCTCCCTCTCTTCCACTCTAAAAACCAATGGAAAATATCCTTGGGTGAGGTTTTAAAAAAAAAGAATATGGCACAGATTCTAGGGTCACCCCTTGATCTCCACCCTCCGATGATCAATCCTCGTGTCCTTCTTGCCCCCACGAGCGGGAAGTGACACCCGCTTCTAACCCATAGAACCCAGCAAAGGCGACGGGTGCCTGGGGGAGGCGGCGATGGATACGAGATTTGCAACACGACACGACAGAGTCATCCTCGCTGAGGGACGCTGTCTAGAAGGCAAGGGGCCGCGTCCACGGGCAGCCAGGGAGAAAGTGAGGCCCTCGCTCGGGCAGCCTGCAGAGCCCCGATGCCACCAGCCACCCCGTGAATGAGGCCGCCCGCTCCTGCCCAGCTGGGCCTGGTAGAAGCCTGCCGTCCACCCACACCTGGACCACAGCTCTGCTGGACCCGGCCCAGGAGCCAGGGACGCTGTGCCCAGAATCCTGACGCCCCGAAAAGCGCCAATAATACAAGTGTATTTACTCCACGACATTGAAGGGTGCATTTTCCCATCAGGAAATAGGAGGGCAAACCAGAGTGTTCCCTAGCAAAGCTGTCAGCTTGGGGTTATTGGATCTAGTCATTTCCAATTTAAAAAAAAAATGTATTTGCCCTGACCGGTTTGGCTCAGTGGATAGAGCGTCGGCCTGCGGGCTGAAGGGTCCCAGGTTCGATTCCGGTCAAGGGCATGTACCTTGGTTGTGGGCACATCCCCAGTGGGGGGTGTGCAGGAGGCAGCTGGTCAATGTTTCTCTCTCGTCGGTGTTTCTAACTCTCTATCCCTCTCCCTTCGTCTCTGTAAAAAAATCAATAAACTATATTAAAAAAAATAAAATAAAATACTTTAAAAATGTATTTATTATAATAAGAGATTTAAAATGTATGAGATTGTTTTTTTAAAAAAATACGTTTAAAAGACATATCCACTCAACAACCTAATACAAAATTTAGGATGTCTTTAGATTAACTGTATTAAAGTTTGCTGAAAATAGTAACCGATATAAGAGGCAATTTATCTTAAAAAATAGCACTCAGGCCCTGATCGGTTTGGCTCAGTGGATAGAGTGTCGGCCTGCGGACTGAGGGGTCCCAGGTTCGATTCCAGTCAAGGGCATATACCTTCGTTGCTGGCACATCCCCAGTGTGTGTGTGTGGGGGGGGGGGGGGGTGCAGGAGGTAGCTGATCGATGTTTCTCTCTCATCGATGTTTCTAACTCTCTATCCCTCTCCCTTCCTCTCTGTAAAAAATCAATAAAATATATATTTTTTAAAAAATAGCACTCAGGACACAAATTAGAGACTTCCCCCACCCCCTCCCCCAGAATTAGAGCTGGTTAAGACATGATATTTTGGCTAATAACCATGGATGGTACCAGGTGGGTACTGGCAATACTGGGGACAGTGTCCTATAAAGTATAGGATTGTCCAACCACTAGGCTGCATACCAGAAACTAATACAAAATAATATTGAATGGAAACTATAATTGAAAAAAATAATTTGAACATAAAAAAATATAGAAGCATTTTATAAAAAAAAAAAAAAGAGAGAGAGAGAGAGAGAGAGAGAGAAAAGACATGCTATTTTATTGGTAGGTGTGAAATTTTAAAAATTACCTTGGCATACAGGAAATTCTGGGTACCAGCCAAATTCGTAGCATTGGACTAAATCAGGTCCACTTAGATAATAATTTTCATGACAGAAAAACTGAACGACATCTCCTTCTTCATAGGTCGGCTTGACAGGTTGAAAATAACCATTTTCTATTGATGTTAAAGGGGTGCATACTAATTCTAAAAATGAAAGTAAGACACACACAGAAAAATGTAATTATTTTCCTGCTGGAATAAAATGCACCTACCCCTTGCATGCCATATCTGGAACAGACATTACTAGATTTGCCGTATTCCATTTCACAAAAGGAAAGCTTTTCCATTTATATATATACACTAGAGGCCCGGTGCATGAATTCGTGCACGGGTGGGGTCCCTCAGCGTGGCCTGCAGGGATCGGCCAAAACCCACAGTCCAACACTGCCTGCAGCTCCTGCTCATCCCAGCCCCCCTGCATCTGCCACTGCTGCTGCTTGATAGGCTCACTGCTCGTCTGGTGCCCGTCGGTCAGCTGAGCGGCGCTCCCACTGTGGGAGCACAGAGACCACCAGGGGGCAGCTCCTACGTTGAACGTCTGCCCCTTAGTGGTCTGTGCACATCATAGCGACCACAGTAGGCTTTTATATAGAGAGACTAATGATCATTAGGCTGATTTTAATGTAGTTATTTGAGCAAAAAGGAATTTGTTTTCCTATTAGAGAGCTTTCAAGGATCAAAGCCTACTCTAATCAAAACCAGAAGCAAAAAAAAAAAGTGGGGTGGGGGGGAAGGTGGGGGGTAAAATTGACCATAATCAGCATCACAGAATGAGCATCACAGAATCAGCATCACAGAATCCCTGTCGGAGGGAGAGGAGGCTGCAGGGTGGAGGCCATTGTATTCCCAAGGAGAACCTACTGGTGCACGATGGTGGGAGAAGCCACCCATGCGAGCGACACTCGGCCTCCTCCTCCGACTCTCCCTTCGTGCTGTAGTAGCCGAGGTCGCATCGGTACCGCACTTTGTCCCCCAGGCGGAAGGCGGTCTGCGCTGTGGAGTAATTCCCGTGAAGTAATTCAGGAGCCAAACACGTGTCTAACAGAAAGTACGGTTATATGTTATGAACGTCACCACCGAACCTGAAGAGCCGAAAGAAATCTCCAAGCGACTTTTCACTGAATCTTAAGAACAAATATGGCAGCTACAGATAAGCGGAAGCATATACTATGTTCATGGATAGGAAGACTCAACAGCATGAAGATGGCCACGCTGCCCAAAGCAATCTACCGATTCAACGAAATTCCTGTCGAGATACCAATGGAGTATTCTACAGAAGTAGAGCCAACATTTCAAAAGTGTGTATGGGACCCCAAAGGACCCCAAATGGCAACAGGGATCTTGAGAAAGAAGAACCAAGTGAAAGAAGTCACCCTACTGCTATCAAACTCTAACACAAGGCCATAGGCATCAAAACAGTATGGTGCTGGCATAAGAACAGACAGGTTTGGGAGATGACGGGCGCACACGTACCCTGCTCCTCCCTGCAGGCCGGCGGGGACGACCACCCGTCGGGGAGACACTGCACCTCCTCCTCGGCCAGCCCCGCGGGGGTCGTGTAGCCCGAGGCGCAGGTGTAGCGCAGCTTCTCGTGGACGCTGTACAGCAGTTTCGCCTCCGAGATGTGCCCGTTGGCCAGGGCGGGCCGTGCGCACTTTTCTAGGGAGAAAACACGTCTGCTGAGCTGGATGCCATGAAGCTCGCCTTCCAGGCCCACGATTAGGGTCCTTCTGGGACTGTGAAGGCGGAACACGCTCACTCCGCGCCCCCTGCTTCTGTGTAGGTTTGGAAATAGCCCGTGTGCTCGCAGGCTCATTCATTCTAAAAGCGATTCCATTGGACGGTGGCGTGCATTGCATTGCCCACTCTCGGTTCTTAGAGTCATTCATTCCTACCTCTCCCGCGTCCACACTGAGAAAAGATGCCCAGAGCTTCCCACTCGCTGTCACTAGTGGCAAATAAAAGGAATTTGTTTGGGTTGACTTCCCACCATGTTAAGTCCACTGTGTTTGTGGATCGTTCACACCCTTAACGAAAGGACGACCCTACTGTGGGGACCCTTCACCAATTCTCCGACGTCAAGGACCCGTCTGGCTGCCTGTGTACAGTCACCACACAAGTTCCTCTTCCCTTAAAAGTAACGTGATTGAATAACAAGTCCAGTGATTATTTCTATTCTCTTCACGGGGAATGAGGAACAACAAAGAAGGAAAGCAACGCTTTAATGAGAAACATTATTTACACAATTTCAGAATATGCCTTCATTTTGTAAAAATGAAACACCCCCGGCTGGGCCCGTGTGGCTCAGGGGTTGAGCATCGACCTAGGAACCAGGAGGTCACGGCTCGATCCCCGTTCAGGGCCCAGGCCCGGGTTGCAGACTCGATCCCTGGTAGGGGGCGTGCAGGAAGCAGCTGATCCATGAGTCTCTCTCATCATTGATGCTTCTCTCTCTCTCCCTCTCCCTTCTTCTCTGAAATCAATTTTTAAAAAGAAAGTGTATAAAGATTAAAAAAAAAAAAAAGATGGTGGGAGGAGGCCATAGAGGTGCTAAATAAATGGTGATGGGAAAAATAAAATAAAATAAAAAATACAGGACAGTGGGCCAGTCCTTACGTTGTTCATTGACCTCTTCTATTCATTTATTTTTTTTTTTTATTGATGTCAGAGAGGAAGGGAGAGGGAGAGAGAGAGAGACACATCAAGGATGAGAGAGAACCATGGATCGGCTGCCTCCTGCACGCCCCCTACTGGGGATCGAGTCTGCAACCCGGGCATGTGCCCTGACCGGGGATTGAACCGTGACCTCCTGGTTCCTAGGTCGATGCTCAACCACTGAGCCACATGGCCCGGGCGGCCCCTTCTGTTGAGGACGGAGGAGGCGGGCTTGAGCCGGCCCCGGCCCGGACTTACTGAAGCACCTGGGCTGGGGGGACCAGCCCCCCGCGGTGCAGGTGGTTTTGTCCTCTTGCTTCCCCGACTCCGTGGTGTAGCCGGCCAGGCAGGAAAAGGACAGTGTCTGGTCTGCGGCCATCGGGAAGTAAAAGCTCTCGAACGTGTAGTAATAGACGGCGATCCTCCCATTCTCCACGCGGGGCAGGCCGCAGGGTTTGTCTGCAAGGAGGGGACAATCAGGCCACAGCCTCAGGACGCCGGAGCCGACACCGGGACACTGGTGACCGAGCCACACCACGTGCCCCTCGCAGCGCTGGCAGGCACGCTGACCACCCGCTTCGTTGTATCACCAACATGTTTAAGGATTTGGGGGACGATCCCCTTCCATGGGAATTAACCAGCAAGCCCACCCCCCCAACCCCCAACACCCAACAGTCAGGGGGACCCCGGGCAGGCGGCACCCACTCAGAAAGCTCTCCCCAACTTCATGAAACAGCCTTTCGATGAGACGGCGTGCAAAAGCCACAGTGTCTCAGCAGAGGAATAGAACCACAGGAAATGACCCTGCAAGTATTATCTTTTTTTAAAAAATATATTTTTATTGCCAAAACTGGTTTGGCTCAGTGGATAGAGCGTCGGCCTGCGGACTGAAAGGTCCCAGGTTCGATTCCGGTCAAGGGCATGTACCTGGGTTGCGGGCACATCCCCAGTAGGAGATGTGCAGGAGGCAGCTGATCAATGTTTCTCTCTCATCGATGTTTCTAACTCTCTATCTCTCTCCCTTCCTCTCTGTAAAAAATCAATAAAATATATTTTAAAAAAATAAAATAAAAATAAATAAATATATTTTTATTGATTTCATGGAGGAAGGGAGAGGGAGAGAGAGAGAAACATCAATGATGAGAGAGGCTCATGAATCGGCTGCCTCCTGCACATCCCACACGGGGGATAGAACCCCGCAACCTGGGCATGTGTCCCGACCAGGAATTGAACCCTGACCTCCTGGTTCATAGGTCAGTGCCTAACCACTGAGCCACGCCGGCCGGGCGGTAAACACTATCTTGACTTCTACAGCGTAGGCCCTCTCACTGGTCTTATGCGACATAAATGAAACCAAATAGTGTGTATTTTTTAGGTCTGACGTCTCGTTTCACCTTTGGTTTGTGGGATCCACCCATAACTGGGCCGTAGTGGCTAGTCCCTTCCCTAGCTGGTATGTGTTCCATCGTTGCCATGCCACAGGTAGCCTATTCATTCGACAATTCATGGACACTCAGGTGGCTTCCCAGTGAGAGATAGAATATGGCCTCGGCTCATTTTCAATAATTTGTTTTTAATGTGAAAACTGTCCATCACCCCCACCAGGGAGATAAAGTGGCCAAACAGCTGTAACCAATCAAGGCTACAAGGACGATCAGGGAGATCGTTAAGACCAACCAACCCCTGAGGACTGGTGGTTTGGAGCTGGCAGAACAGATGGGACCACCAGGTGGGAGTGGTCTCGCCTCGCAGTGACCCCTCGCTCACCTCTCTACACGCTCGCGGTCCTATAGGAGCACCTAAACGACACCCACACTGAGGTGCGGGAGCCGGGAACCCACATACGGGAACAAGGGGCCGCCAGGGCTCCTCACCCCGTTCCCAGGAAAGTCCCGAGTGTTCCTCCCGGCACGGGAGGCCCTGCTTCTCCGGTGCGTCTCGGTAAAGGAGGCGCAAACCACCAGGCAGGGCTGCCGCCTGGGCAGTGGCCGCTGTTCCCGGCTCCATGATGAACTCTCTGTCAGGGTCAACTCTGGCTGCCTCGTCTTTGGATTCTTTCCCACGAGAAGCCAAGAACCCAGAGAGGATCATGGGCCACCCCAACCCCTGGGTCACCTGGATTCTTTTATGAACATCTTGTTGTCCTTTCAGTTACATAGTTAATCATCCATCCTGCAAGCTTTTTCTTTATTTTCTGTCAATCCTCACAGAGGATATTTTTCCCATTGGTTTTTAGAGAGAATGGAAGGGGAGGGAGGAGAGAGAGAGGGAGAGAGAGAGAGAAACATCACGTACATAAAGCTATTGCTAAAAGAAACAATGACAAACGTAAAAACTTTATTGGTACACATATTTCTTACATTTTAATACACAATCTGATCTTAGTTCTAGAAAAAAATCCAAAGCACTTTCCACAGCCATGATTCGCTTTACAATGTCCTCTCCCCGCACACGCGGAGCTGCCCCTGTCACGGGTAAGGAACGCCAAGCGTGTCCATCACCAGCTGCACAGCTTGCAGGGGGGCCGTGATTTCCTGCACGTTGTCCCTCCTCAAGACCCAGCCTGGCTGGAGCCTGTGGGAGAGCAAAGGCCTCGCATTAACTGTGTCCTTCTCCTCAAAGAGCGACGCCCCCCCCCATTTCGGTGAACACGGCGGCTCCCGGCCACGTGACTGCCTGACCCGGCTCTCAGACATCACTGCTCCCCACGCTCCCTCCAGCCACACCCGGCGGCGTCCCTCTCCCTCTGGCCACCTCGCAGCCGCAGCCGCTCCCCTGGGGGGAGGCCACTGTCCTGGGGTGTCCTCCTGTCTGTTAGCAAGTCCTCGGCCCCTCGTGCTGGCTCTCCCTCTACGTGACTTCTGGAGGAGCGGGGCTGCCCTGAGGTTCATTTGGGACTTTCCTGTCTGTGTCTTCTCGCCCCAAGGTGACCGCATCCCTCTCAGGCCTTAGAGGCTAGCGCATGGGTCCTGAGTCTCCTGACCCCTCATGTGACCTCTGGCCTGCTCCTCCCCCCGAAGCACAGGCCTGACTCTGGGCGGCAGCACCCTGACGGCACCGCGTGCTGAGAGGCTCCCACAGGTACCTCTCCTCTTGGTCACGGCTGCTTCTCCATCGGCAGACACAGCTCGTGTGTGAGATCCGCCGTCAGGACGCGCGCGCAGGGACGCGGGGCCGCAGAGCGCACCCCTGCTTACCGTGCCACCATCCTGGCCCGGGGGGCGGTTTCGGGCAGGCGGGGGAGGCTCCCGGAGTTCTGACTCTGCTTGTGAAGTATTCGCTCGGCGTCCACTCTGTGCTTATGAGCCGTGAGCCTGTAGATGCTGGACACGCAGTCGGCCACCTTGGACCTGCTTTGAACATCCTGAAAGAGAAAACGCACTGATGGGAACTGAGAAGTACATTCTGCATCCCTTCCATCGAGCACACGCTGTGATAAACCAGCGAGCTCCCCAGGCTCTGAGGTCGGGCTGGGGTGAAGCATAAGCTGATTTATAAGATGATGATAGAGGGCAAACACTCCACCCTGGGCCCTGAAATCCACATGACACAAAGGCAAGTACCAGTCGGTGCCCTCAGTGCCCACTGTGTCCGTCACCAAGTCCTGTGACTTCACTCCTCAGGGTGCCCACAGGTGCACAGCCCCGACCGAGCCCGACCTCCTGCCCCGACCACCACACCCCACCCTGGCCCCTTCCCTTCACACCCCGCGCCCCCAGCCGACAGGCTCCCGGAGGGCGCGCTTCCTGCGGCCGCCAGAGGAGGGTGGGAGCGTGAACTCACCGAGGCTCGGCCCGTCGCCTTCAACAGAACAGCCAGCAAGCAGCAGGTTTTGGTGAAGATGCTCCCGCTCTTGTCGGCGATCTTGTCGCCCGGCTTCTCCCGGTACATCCGCAGCAGGTCCAGCAGCGTGTCCACGCAGCCGTCCACGGCGCCCACCGCGGCCGTCGTTTTCTCGTACTCGAGGAGACAGGGAGGGGAAGGGACAGTGAGCACGGCGTTCACCGGAACCCCCGGACCGAGAGGAAGCTCAGCCCCGCTCCTGGCCCACCTGCCGCAGGTGCGAACGGCTGAGTGACCTGTGACCCCCCGGTCACCCCGAGTCCCTCTCCCAGGTGCACCTGCTCTTCCTGCCTGGCCCCAGAGCTTGTGTCTGGGCCCCTCCCGCTCCATGGGAAGCCCCGGGGGGACAGAGCCCTCAGCTGTGGCTGGGGATGGGGTGGGGGAGGGGAAGAGCTGTCCTCTCATCCCCGTCGACTGCCCATCGCGACAGCACAGACCTGCGCCCCCCACACCCGGAACCCTGACGCCACGGGAGAGAGCAGTGCAGGTGGCGGCTGCAGCGTGTCCGGATCTCCTGCTGCGGGAGGAGGCCCCTGTCCTGAGACAGCGCTGGGGGCCAGGACCGCGGGGCAGACAGAAACGGTCCAGCTCAGCCCCACCTCCCACGCGAGCCCTCAGGTGAGGACTGAAAGCTCCCCCTCTCTCTAGAACGGGAGTAAGAGCACCAACCGCCTCAGGCCAGTGCTCAGTGAGTGAGTGCTCAGTAAGAACCAATTCCTCAAATACCCACGTCCAGACCAGCCCGTTCCCCTAAGAGGGCAGATGCGTGAATGTGCCTGGGCATCTGCATTCTGGTGACGAGCACACGGACACCTCACGCGCTGAGCGGACTTCCTGCGTGAGGATTTGCTCGCTGAAACGGAAAGCTACCTTGGCGACGTGCAGCAGGACTTGCACCGCGTAGCTGACGACTTCCATACAAGGGACGCTGCGGTTACAGCTTCGGATCAGGAGGAATATTTTGCGAATCGCCCCGCTCTGGGCCATGTTCTCGCAGCACAGCGGGGACAGCCTCGTGACGACCTCTGGAAGGAAGAGGAGAAACTCAGCCACTCGAGGCTCCGGCCCAGCCACAGGGGCCACAAGAGCTCCCTGTGCCCGGAGGCGGACGTGGAGCGTGACCTCAGAGAAGACTGTGGGCACAGGACACGCACCCAGGTGCTTCAGGGCCTCAAGGACAGCCGACAGGTGCTTGTATGTCAACAGGTGGAACAGGGCCAGCGAGGTTCTCTTGTACAGTTTGTCTTCTTCTCGAACCTCCCCACTCAGAGCTTGAAGGCTTCTGCGAATGGCTTTAATTTTTGTACAATTATTCTTCTTCCTCAGAGCGTAGCCCCTCCACAGTGCCTGGGAGACAAACACTGCTTTTTAAAGACCACAACGGAGGATGCTGTAAGCTGGCATTTATCTCCACAAAGTAAATACCCTCCGTGAGTTTAGACGATTGATCAGACACCTGGCAACTAAAGCCTCATTCAGGTTCTAAGTCTAACAGCGAACTCAGTCTTTCTAAGAAGAAACACACGGATATTCCTGTGCACCATGGAAGCTCATCGCTGACCCGAGGTAGCGAACTCTGCTCAAACTGCGAATGTACTTGTCATCAAACATACACTTCCCCCCAGGGAATCTGAACGGAACATTCTGGCAGCTTAGTATTTACTAGTATGACTTAGTCCAGTGATGGTGAACCTTTTGAGCTCGGCCTGTCAGCATTTTGAAAAACCCTAACTTAACTCGGATGCCGTGTCACATAGAGAAATTTTTTGATATTTGCAACCATAGTAAAACAAAGACTTATATTTTTGATATTTTATATATTTAAATGCCATTTAACAAAGAAAAAATCAACCAAAAAAATGAGTTCGCATGTCACCTTTGACACGCGTGTCATGGGTTCGCCATCACTGACTTAGTCTATGGACCAATCTCAGCTTTTTAAAGGGTGGGTGGCTGTTTCCAAATGGCAGATTGCCCACAGCTGAACTGCGACCCCGAGTCTTGAGCTACAATCGCGGCGTCCGCAGTGGCTCACCTGGATCTTCACGATGCTGTGACGGAGCCGCGCCTGCTTCCTGCGGAGGAGGAAGCGGCGTGTGGCCGCCTGGATCACGGAGGCCGCCCTGTGCTGCCGCCGCCGCCGCTCCTCAACTTCGTGCTGGAGGCCGATGATGCTGTGACAGACCTGCACGAACCTCCTCAGCCGCAGCCTCGCCCGGAACCATCTCTGTTTAAGGCACGTGAGGATTTTACTTCGGTTTTGTGCGTGTGCGTGTGTATGTGTGAGTGTGCATGTGCGTGTGTGTGTGTATGTGTGCGTGCATGTGCATGTGTGTGTGCATGTGCATGTGTATGTGTGTGTGCGTGTGCATGTGCGTTTTATTGCTTTCAGAGAGGAAGGGAGGGGGGAGAGACTGAAGCATCAGTTATGAGAATCATCAATGGCTGCCTCCTGCACGCCCCCCACTGGCGATGGAGCCCACAACCCAGGCCTGTGCCCTGACTGGGAATAGAACCGTGACCTCCTGGTTCACAGGTCGATGCTCAACCACTGAGCCACGCCGGCCGGGCTGCACTGGTTTTTAATGTAAACGGACGCACATGCACATGCACATTCCTAATGACACAGACGTTTCAGTTGTAACCAGACACTGGAAACCACCTCTCAGCCTCCTCCGTGGCATCGCTCCCCCCCCCACTGCAAAGCCCTCCAGGCCACGCTGGGGTGCGTGAGCGTCTACGTCTAACCCTGGATGCGTGGCCGTTTCGTGGTCTGTGAATCCCACCGAGCTGCAGGTTCACTCTGCAATGCATTGTCCACGCGCTATCCTACGTGTCAGTGTCTGCTAAGTATATCGTAAGTACATACGATCAGGGTTCATATCCAGAACACATACAGACTCCGATAGCACATAAAAAATGCCCAACAGGAACATGGGCAAAGTACATATTAGAAAAACCACGTTCAATAAAAAGCACAGCACAGAAGAATGTTAGTCCCAAAGGAAAACAAAGTAGGATTTGCCACTCGCTAAAATGGCAAAAATCAGAAAACCCGCTGCAGCCACGTGTGGGTGAGGATGCAGAGAAACAGGCCCCCAGACTTGGCTGGGAGGAGCGTCAACGAGGGCAGTGACGTCAGAGATGAGAGCAGCTTCATCCCCGAGTCACAGAACACCCGCCTCTCCCTAAGCCGCCGCGCCCTCCTCCCGGCGATCCGGCAAAGGCCCGGTCTGATCTGACCTGGCTTAACGCCCTTGGAAAGTACTTATTAAATACAAAGGTGTGTGACACACACGTCCCAGGCGCCACTGCGAGGGCTGACCTGGATGCAGATGACGGAATCCAGGTGCCTTTCCGCGCTCCTCACGGCCGCGTGGCGCCGATACGCTCTCTGGATCCGCACAGCAGCCAGGTGGCAGCGGGCGGCGGCTGCGAAGTGGAGGAGCCTGACTGTGGCTCTGCTTTCCGACGTCTGAAGGGGAAGAAAACATTGGTAACCAGACACTCGGCTGGTAAGACAATCAGTCCACGTCTACTCCTGTGCATCCCGCTACCAAACTACACACATTAGCAAACTAACCTTTACATGCGAACATTCTTTACACTGTACCTAAAAAGTGCCGATCTCCTCTAAAATATTTCCACTGGGCAATCCATCGCTCAGAGAGTCAAGTTACATTTTGTGCACTTTACTAAATAACAGCACTTCACTTAACTGGATTCCCAAGAACAGTGAGTTATGGCTTTGGGTGTGCTCGTTATCATGAGGGAAGCGTGTGAGTATGAAACTCAAAGGCTCCCGTGTTCCAGGCACAACTGCTGGAGGCGGCGGCGCTAGTCAGACCAGGTGGGAGCTGGTCTCTCCCGAGTCTCCGGAGGCCCAGCCCCACGGTCTGTGGGGGCGCGTCCTGCCTGCCGTGGCCTGGATGACCTTGACCTTCTCAATGCAGAGTGAGTGGGACCCAGGTCTGTCTTACAACATAGATCAACACAGACTCCCCCACCCACTAGCAGAATGACCTTGGGCAAGTCACCTTGCCTCCCTGGACCTCACTTTGCTCATCTGTAAAATGGGTATGCTAATGAACACCACCTCACCGGGTTACTACCAGGATCAAATAAGTTAATACACAGCAGCACGTGTACTAAGAAGTGGCTATAATCGTAGTGGATATTACATGAGCATCAAAACTTCCAAGTAAAATTTTTATTTCTTTAATAAAAGACCATCGGTACTGCAACTATTCTAAAGACTTAATGTTAAATATTTTAAGTAGTTCACCAACTGTGGTCCACAGTATGTTTTTTAAAGTGTGTGACTTTTATTGGACACAATGCTACACTGATGATCACTTTCTCCAAGTAAACGACTTATTCTGAAAGTCACTTCGAAGTTGGGTTTGAGAATCTCTTATAACTGCACATGTACGTAAACAAAATACACACAAACAGTATTTTGTGATAAGTTTCAACTGAGGACGGCGATGTGTTTAAATTAGTGCCCTGGTAGGTCTTAAGCACAGTCTTCTGTTCCGCTTCCTGAGGCAGCTCTTTGCAGACGAGCTGTGGTCACGTTCAGACCCACCTGCACGGCCAGGAAACGGTCAGACCCACCTGCACGGCCAGGAAACGGTCAGACCCACCTGCAAGGCCAGGAAACGGTCAGACCCACCTGCACGGCCAGGAAACGTTCAGACCCACCTGCACGGCCAGGAAGTGCTCGCGAGCCCGCCTTCCACCAAGCGTGGCTCTCCATCTCCTCTGGATGGTCACGGCCGACGCCCTCACGCTCAGAAACCTGAGGAGCAGTCATGGGAGAGCAATTTCAGATCAATCTGTTCAGGAAGTAAATAAAAACCCCCATTCAAAACGAAAGAAAATATGTGAAAGGCAATAACAAAAGAGCATAACAAAGAAAAGTGTAATTTATGTTTACGTTCTAGCACCCATCGCTGTGCACATGCGCGAATGCGTGCACACACACACACACACACACACACACACGTGCGCGCGCGCGCACACACATGCACACACATGCCCGCATGCACAGCCCGGCCCCAGCAGGGCTGCATTACCATGCCCGCGCCCGCCTGGCCCGGAAGCGGCCCTGCACGGCCCGCACAGCCTTCAGCACAGCCAGGTACCGCTTGCGCGCCTGCCAGCCCCGAAACCAGGCTTGGATCCTGCAGGCTGCCTCCACGGCATGAGCACGCCGCCTGGCTCTGTAGCTCCTCCACGCAGCCTGCTCAACACAGAAACAGACACACGCCAGGAGGTGCTCATTTACTTACTTTTTGTAAATTCGAAGAATTAAAATTCTCACTTAGAAAGAATGTCACGCAATAAAGGGCCCCACTATCACCCCCCACCCCCCCTCCGCCCGGTTCTCCCGGGAGAGCTGCGATGACACCTACGGAAATGCAACCCTATGTGTGCTGTCTCGGCTCAGTCCCTCCTGGTGCCCTTGGCTCCCTCTCAAACGCGGCATTTGGGGAGATCAGTAACACGGCCCTAAGCCAGCACCCACTATGCCCTGCTGGCGCTCGTCTCCTAGCCGCCCAGGCACCGAGGATGGGAGCTTCCTATGGAAGTCACGTACCTGGATTATTAAGGCGCTGGCTTTAATCCTCCGGAACTTCCGTTTCTGTAGAAATCCCCTGGTCCACGCTTGAATGATGACAACGCTGCCCCTGATGCGTAGACACGCGCGCCTCCGGAGCCTCGCGGACGCACAGGCGCGGCGGCGGCTCTGCACGGCCACCGCGTCCCTCCCCAGCAGGAACCGTCCCCGGGCCCGCCGAGCCCGGCAGGACAGCGGCAGGGTGACCACAGCCCTGCTCCGCCGCACGAACCTGCTGTGACACGCAGCCATGCGGAGGGAGGGCCGGACGCGCAGGGCGGCAGGCTCCCGGGCTCCCAGCATCCCTGGGGCCGTTTCCCGGAGAGCTGGTGGGCTGGTGACCGCGGCCTCCCTCTGGGAATGAGCTTCGGCCCCCGAGTGCGGCCTGGCCGCTGGGCTCCAGGCAGCGTCCTGCTGAGCTCCGGGCCCGTCACAGTGGGAGGCAGGGGGCCCAGCGCTGGCGGCCACCGCGCCCTCGGAGGCCCCTCCCAGCGCCCATCTCCCTCTCGGGCCTCGACAGGCAGCCTCAGCAGGTGGTGCGGGTCTGCGGGCCGCTGAGCACCGCCTCGCCCCCGCCGTCCCTCGGACGTACGGCCCGCAGGGACTCTGTACGACCGCGGCTGCCCTGCCCTCGGCCCGGTCGGCGGCGCGGGCCCTGTGCGTCCGCTGCGAGGCCTGAATGCGGGTGGTGGCCCGGAGCCTGCCGTCGCCGTCCCCGTGTCCCCGCGAACCTCTGCAGGAAGACTGCGGGCCGGGGGCTGCTGGGGTTCGCGCTGCCGCGGCCACACTGCGTCTTCTCTGAACAAAACCCGCGGCTGCTCTAAACTGGAGGAAACGCTTCCGCCTTCTGACAGGCCTGAGATGCGGCTGGACAGTGACAGCCGCCGGACGCTGCTCCCGACTGCGCTCCCCCACCGCGGGGGCCGCCGAGCCCGCCGGCGTACAGGCCGCTGCCTTCGGGAGCGCACGGTGCCCGGGCGCCTCTTTCTCGTTGGCGCTGTGTCTGTCCCGTGTCACCCTGGGGGCCGCCCGCAGCTGCTGGTGGGAGAGACGCCGCCGGTGCCTCCTGTACGCGCTCTGGATGATGGCAGCGGCCCTGTGCTGCTCCCGCGAGAGCTGCCCCGCCTTCGCTCCCTCCGGTGCGGCCGGCAGGACCTCGGCGGCACCCCTCTGCCCGACACACTCCTCTCTCCGCAGCCTCGCAGCTCGGCAGGCTCGGTACCGCCGCTGGAGCAGGACCGAGGCCTGTTTCAGGGCCTGGTACCTCGCCCGCGCTCGGTGCATCCGGAGCGCGGCCTGGACCACGGTGGCCGCCCTGTGCATCTCTCGCAGCCTTCTCCGCACCAGCCAACCTCGGACCCGGGCCTGGATTTTGACGGCTGCCTCTCGTAAGCGCAGAAGTTGCCGGCGATGCTTAGCGTGAACGTTGGCTCGATACCTTCTCTGAGCCCAGATGGCAGTGCTCCGGAGAGAAAGGAACCTCCTCCTCGCCAGCAGGGCCCTGAACCACCTCTGAATGACAGCTGCGGCCAGATGCAGGGCCCTCACCCGTCTCCGGGCTCTCCTGCCCCTGAACGCAGCCTGCACGCGGATGGCGCAGCGCCTCAGGCTGGCGTAGCTCTGGAGCTGCAGGCGTCCAGCCTGGGCCGCGCGGTACCGGCGCTGCACGGCTTCCGTCGCCCACTTCAGCTGCAGGAAGTGCGTTTGCTGGCGGTACCGGCGGTAGCAGGACTGAATCAGCACCGCCGCGCTCTGCATCTGCCTCAGGGTCCGCCTCACCCGTGCTCCTCGCCAACTCGCCTGGAGAACACGAGCGGCCTGCAGGACGGCCAGGTACCGCGCGCGCTGCGTCCTGCCCTGGCGACGGGCCCTGTACCTCACCTGGATGACGACGGCTGCCGCCCTCACCTGGCGGAACCTGCCTTGTGCCTGGTGCATCTTAAACACGGCCTGGATGGCAGTGGCGGCCGTGTGCATGCGCTGCAGCTGCCTCCTGGCTCTCAGGCCCCGATACGCCGCCTGGAGGTGGGTCGCGGCCTCCTTTAAGTGGAGGTACTCCCTGCGCTGCTGGTGGGCGGCTCTCACATGCCGGTACCACCTCTGAATGGCGATGGCGGAGGCCCTGTAGGCCGCGTACCTCCTCCTGGCCCTGTGCGCCCGGTACCGGGACTGGATGACGGCCGCCGCCCTGCCGCGCTCCCGTGCGCTCTCTCTTCTCGCTCTCATCCTCCGGAAGGCGGACTGCAGAGTCACCACGGCCGCCTTGGTCTTCAGATACCAGAGGCGCTGCCTCCTCCCAAGGCGGTGGGCCCGGTAGCGGGCCTGGATCAGCCGCGCGGCCTCCCTCAGGGCTGCCCACCTCCTGCGCTGCGCGTGCATCCTGTACCGCGCCTGGATGACGGTGGCGCACTCGTGTCGCTTCTGGATCTGCCTTCTCGCTGTCCTCCCCCTCCACGCGGCCTGCAGCGTCAGCGCCGCCTGCCGAAGCCCCGCGTACACCAAGCGCTGCCTCCTTCCCGCAGCCCTCGCTCTCCAATGTCGCTGCAGGGCCAGCGCGGCTGTTCTCAGCCGTCGGAACTGCCTCTGGGCCTGGGCCGCTCTGAACGCGGCCTGGATCGTCAGCGCCGCCTGCTGCTCTCTGCGGATCTGCGCCCGCACTTTCCAGCCACGACAGGCAGCCTGGAGGGAAAGCGCAGCTGTCCTCGCCCTGAAGAACTGCGCCCTCAGGTCACGAGCTGTCCTGCGGGCCCGGTACCACCTCTGGATCATGACGGCAGACCGCAGCACAGACCGGAACCGCGCCCGCTCCCTGTGGCCTCGGAAAGCGGCCTGGATCTTACGCGCGGCCGTGGCCCGGCGCCGGAGGAGCTGGCGAGCTCGGTAGCCTCTGTACGCTGCCTGCAGGCGGGTCACGGCCCTGAGCACCTGCTGGTGCTTCCTGCGGCGGAGCCGGGCTTGGCGCGCGCGGTAGGCCCTCTGGATGACCAGGGCCGCCCTGCGCACCCGCAGGAAGTGCCGCCGCGCCTCTCGCATGCGGAAGCAGGACTGCAGGGTGAGGGCAGCGGAACTCTGCAGCCGCAGCTGCCTGCGGACCAGGTGCCCCCTGGCCAAGGCCTGCAGCCGGATACAGGCTGCCCGCACCCGCCGGTACTCTTCCCGCCTCCGCGCGGCCGTCTTCAGGGCCCGGTACCTCCGCTGGGTGAACAGGGCGGCCGCTCTTAAGCGTAAATACCGAGCACAGGTTTGTCGCATCCTCACGATGGACTGCAGCCGGACTGCGGCGTGCTTTAGGCTCAGAAACCTCCTTCTGGCGATGCACGCGCGGCAGTGGGACTGGATCTTCACGACGGATGTGCGGGCGAGACGGAACCTCCTGCGGGCCCACATCCCCCGGCACGCAGACTGCAGCACCAGCACCGCAGCGCGCGTCTCCTGGTAGGACACTCGGGCCCTCCTGGCTGCCATGTAAGCGCGAAAATGGACTTGAATCACGAGGGCGGCGCTCTTCATCTTCCTGTATTTCTGCAGCTGTTGATGCTTTCTTACGAGCGCCTGCAGCCTGATGACCGTTTGCCTGAAGCTGAGAAACTGAGCTCTCTCTCGTCTCATTCGCCAATACGCCTGGAGCACGCAGGCCGCCCGAGTCTGTCTGCGCCGGTCCCGGGCTCTCGCGGCCCTGAAGGCGGCCTGCAGCCGGAGGGCCGCGGCCCGAGCCTGCAGGAAGCGGCCGCGCTCCGCCTTCCCCTGCAGGTGTGCACGCCAGCGCTGCTGGATGGTCAGGACAGACGCCTTCTTCCTCTGAAACAGCTTTCGGGCTCGAAAGCCCCGAAATCGCGCCTGAATGAGGACGACGCAAGCTCGGACGTGGCGGAATCTCCGCACTTCCCTGTGCGCCCTGTACCAGGCCTGGAGGGCGGTGGCGGCCTTGTCCTCCCGGGCCCGCTTCCTGGCCCGCCACCCGCGGAAGGCCCGCTGCAGCGTCGCCGCCGCTCTCATCCGGAGCCGCTGCTCCCGGCACCGCCACCTCCGGAAGGCAGACTGGATGACCAGGCAGGAGGCTCGGAGCGCCCGGTAGCTCTGCTGGTCCTGTTTCCGCCTCACACACGCTCGCCAGTGCCTCTGGATGGTCACCGCGGCCCACAGGTGGCGTCTGTAAGAAGCGACGGCAGCCACCATTCTTCTCCGAGACTGCAGGACGACGGAATAATGTCTCAATCTCAGAAACCGCTTCCTGGCGGAATACCTTCTCCAATTTCTCTGCAGGAGGTAAGGACGGACACAGAGTAAGGGACGTCACTTCTGTACTTGACACATTCGAATGGACTAATTTTTCAAACATACTGCTTAAAAATGAGCATGTTAAATGGACACGCAATATATTTTTGAAAAAGATACTTGTCTCTTTTGTGTGTATTTTGGTTTCTACATTGATACAGCTATAGCCAACTCGCAAATCCTTCTCGATCCTAATGAAATTACCCAAAACTGGGAACAATGCAAATATTCTTCAACAGATTAAGACAGAATCAAAATGTGACAGATCCATGCAGTGGGCGTGGAGTGGAATGACCAGCCCACAGGCCAGCACGGCCGAGGGGAGGCCCGAAAACCTCCAGGACGAAGACACAGCAGAGGCGACAGGCAGCCTGGGTGCCCCTGTGAGGAGAGCGGGCATCGCCCCGTCTGTGCCTGCGGCTGCACACAGCCAGCCGCTCACAGGTGCCGGGAGGGCACGCAACAATTGCGTCTGGTTTTTTTAATTTTTGTAAGAGTTTGCGGCAAACAGATGACATATGTCTCAAATGCTCCCGAAATAGTTGCTGAAGTTAATACCAGATAAGATGTAGAAGTCTAAACTACAATAATTTAAAAGATGGTCGTATTTCACTTTCTTCCTTTAAAAGTTACTGAAACTTCCTAAATCCAAAGCGCCAGGATGCTCTACCTGAATCACCGATGCCGACTGGCTCTGCGCCTCCTCCAGCTGCTCCTGCGCCGCCCTCAGGACCGCCCTCCGCCGGCAGAGTCCTCGCCAGCGCCTCTGAATGACCAGCGCGGCCTGAGCATCCTTCCGCAGCCGCCGTCTGGTGAGGAACCCCAGCACCGCCGCCTGGATGGTTCTCGCAGCTCGGTCTCTCTCCTCGGAACAAAACATTAATTAAACAATCACTGGAGACCCTCAGTTATTATTTGTAAGAAAATCATTTGTGAAATACTAATCGAATTCATCCTGGAAATCAAACACCCCCACACTTGCATGGGACACGCTCGTAGCTGGAGTTGGAGAACGGGCACCCTGGGCACCGAGGAGTGGCCGAGAGGTGGTCGTGCAGCTACGGTTACGTGATGAAGCTAAGACTCCGAGGGATTTCGTAGGAGAAGGACCACAGACATGCTTGATGCATCACAGATCGTCAATAATCAATGGAAAAGCACTTAAGTGTGGTATGGCTCTCAGACTGTGGTCCAGTAAATTCATGCTTAACTTTCCAAAAAGGGGTGCATCGTATGGGGAAAAAAGGAGGAAAAGACCCTGAAATAAAGATGCTCTACAGAATAAGGCCATGTTGCTTGGTTACAATTTGAACAAGAGTTCACAGAAAGGGAGAGGAAATGACCCCCTTAGCACAGAGCGCAGGCGGCTGCAAGCCCCGCGGTGCGGAGAACAAGCATCAGTGGGAGAGGCGCTGCCAGAGCCGCCCAGAGTCCCTGCCGCGGCGGCAGCACCGGCCCTGCCTGGTGACGGGGACACCCAGGCAGAGGCTACACACGGTTCCAAACTCAGGAAAATACTTTATGTTCCTGCAACTTTTAGTCCTTTTGGGGCCACAAGGGAAATAAGAACTAACATCCGTACCCCTAGGTCCTAAACATTCTGAGAAATAAAACCATGGAAACCGCAATGCTCCCTTTAATCACAAAAGACCAACTGGGGAGCTTCGCAGACAAAATGAGCGGCTCCCTGAGCCTCAGCCCCAGCCCTGACCCCCAGCACCAGACACACGTGCTCCCTGGAGGCAGGGAGCGTCCAGAGGAGGGAGGGCGGGGCCAGCCAGGCATCCCGTCCATGTCCCACGGACCCTGCAGCCGAGGGAGGCAGGGCTGGCGGGCGGGAAGGCACATCGAAGGCAGGAAACCGGGAGTTAGACAGAAGAGCCATCCCCAGCTCCTGCACTCGAGCGCCGGAACCCCCTGTACCTGGTGGCGCCGCAGGTCTGCCCTCAGCTTGTGGTCTCTCCACGCCGCCTGGATGCGCCGCGCGGCCCGGGTTTCCCTGCGGAGGTCCAGCAGCCGCGCGCAGAGGAACGACAGGTAGGTGATGACCACCTAGGAGGAAGCGCGAGATGGAGACAGACGGCGGCAGGCCCCTCCTCCCGGTCCCGGCAGGCCCCTCCTCCCGGTCCCCGGGGAAGAGGCTCCTCCACCCGCACCTTCTCGTCCGGAATCGTGTTTGACATGTCCGCGTGCTGCACCATAGCAGGGATCCCGCCGAGGTCCCTGGCCGCAGAGCTCACCAGCTGGAAGTTCCTCCTCTCGTTTTCCAGGAGCTCCCGGTGCAGCTCGGGGGCTGTCCCTGCTGCGGGAAGACAGCGATGAGACGGCTCTGCCAATGGGCAGGCCTGGCACCGCCAGCACGCGCCACGCCCACCGACCGCCGGCACTGACCCAGCTCCACGGCTTTCAGGGACAGGTCCAGGCAGCTCTCGTCCGACTCGGACGAGGAGTTGAGGACCACGGAGCCCGACTGCGCACACTCCACGGTCTGCGAGGTCCGCTGGCGAATGGCGTCCAGCGGCACACAGCGGGGGTGATAGTGGTGGATCAGGTAGCACAGCACTCGGCCATCCGAGAAGGACACCGTGAAGTTCTCCACCTGGGGGGGGGGAGGGGGGGAGCAATTGCCTTTGGAGAGAAGCACGTTTCCTTTCTTTTTAATCCTCAGCAAGACTGACTTGAAGACACGGGGCTACACGAGAGGAAGGACCTACCTTGAGGCTGTAGAAGGCGCAGACGGCCTGCACCCACTCCATCAACAGCCTGATGCTTTCGGGACGCTGTTCCGAGGAGCCGCTCGGCCTCGGGTCCGTCTTCTCACTGGGAACAGCGTCCGCAGGGCGGGAGCGCGCAGGCGTGCTTCTCTTCACCCTCCACGTGCGCTTCAAAAAGCCGATTTCTTCTTTTAACTCATCTAAATTAAGAGAAATGTCCACCTGAAACAAGAGAAAATAACTACCTCAGTCCTTTAAGAAGACAACAGGCCTTTCGACAGGGTATCGCTCTCGCCCACAGAAGCTAAAGACCAGCATGTCCGCACGGAGGCGATGGGAAGGGCGGGGGTTCCGTCCACGGGGTTTCGGGCCACAGCAGCCTGGGTCCCAGGCTCATGTCCACTCCCCCCCGGATGTGCCTTTCCCTTCGGCTCCTTCTCCTGGGGGCGAGGTCGAGGGTGGGGTGCTGTGAGGTCAGCCCCGTTCCCGGGACAGCCGAGCAGCTGGAAGTCACAGTTCCCACCGTCGGTCTAGGCGACTGGATGGGAAGACAGGCTACCTGGAACGCCAGGGCTATTTTCCACAGCAGCGCGAGGGTTTTCTCCCGGTGCCTGTCCACAATGTCCTTGGCCAGGATCGCGCCTCCTGCAGGTGAGACAGCCGTTAGCACCGCGTGGGGCCAGGGCCCTCGGGGAGCGGCCGCTCGGCTCCCCCTGCTCTCGGCTCCCCCTGCTCGTCCTGTAGCGGGATCCCGCGGGCCCGCAGGGCCTGCAGAGCAAGGTCGACGTTGTGCATCTTCTGGAGACGGCTGATGGCGGGGATGCGGAGCTGCTTCGAGAGGTCCCAGTTCCGTGTGAGCAGCTCCATGGTTCGCCTACCAAACGGGAGGGATTTTCAGGTGAGAGTGTGATATGAAAAGGTAAGGGGAAAAAGCCTCATTTAAATATGGTCACCACCCGCATAACCCTCCCTCCCCCAGGTTAGACGGTTCTGGGTTAGAAAGACTCTAAAACATTCTCCCGGAACTCTGTCGCTCCAGTCAGCACCCTGGAGGCCACGCCTGCCTTCCCCGTGGGACCTGGGTGCTCACAGCCATTCTGAGGCTTCCGGTTTGATATGGAGGAACGATCGTGCGGTTTGACGCCAGACCCCGAGTGGTACCCTAATTCCAGTGTAAAACCGGGCAGGCCAGTTTCCTTCCTCGTCCTACTCCTCCTCGTGTGGAATGAGGGCGGTGCTAACACTGGTCTCGAATGCTGTCGGACTCGTGCGACCACTGCAGACACTTACCCTGACGTCCGATGCCCCCCAACCCCCATTCTAGGCACCGGTGGTTCCTCCTCTCAGAAACACTGGACAGGAGGCGGTGTCTGGGCCTAAAATTGACCCCATTTTCCCAAAAGTGTTGCAGAGTCTTATTCCCATTTTTTAACCTAAATTCATTTCCAAACATGAAAAAGCAATGAAGATTGTGCAACTACAGGAAACAGTGCTTTTAGAACATTTCAGCCAGTTCCTCAGTAGCCCGATTCTGTGTTGTATACTCACACGAGGCGCACCCCGCACTGCAAGTCCACAGCGAGGTTTGTGACGGCAAAGTCAAACTCATCCAGGGGCGTCTGGACGTGGCTGACGGGCAACCCCAGCCAGCTCAGGTGGCGGGACAGGTCGCCTTCCCCGCTGAGGAAGCCCCGCGAGAACGCCAGCAGGACATCTCTGCTAGCCTGTGGGGAGCCGGCGCAGGCGTCAGACTCCGCTCTCTCCACCATTCCCACGGCAGCCTTCAAGCATTCGCTCCAATTAATAACTCTCTCCAGGAACGAGCGTGGTTGGCTACGCGCCTGCTAGGAAAGACCTGGGCAGCCCCGTCGGCTCACCTCCAGGTTAGAGCAGGGCTGGCGGCTCAGTCCACCCTCAAACGGAGGGGAGCCGCTAGGAGGACACGCTGGGCACGCCTCTGCCCGCCCCCCCCCCCCCCGCCCCGCTCCTCGAGAAACTCGCTTTCTAGAGAAAACACGCGACAGGGCCAGACCGAGCCTCAGGGGGGCTGTGCAGCCACAGACAAGACGGGAGCCGCACCTTGAACTCCGCGTCCTTGCAGAAGAGACAGGGGTCGTGGTCGATGAGCCTCGAGAGCTTCGCTCGATCCAGGAAGCAAACCAGCAGCAGCAGCTTCTTCAGGGTGAAGGCAGACAGGGCCTCCTCGTGGCCTAAAGGGCGGCACAGCAAGCGCGCAGGTGAGCCTGGGCCGGACCCGTTCCCCGTGACCGTGACGACAATGTGTAAGAGTTACAGGACGTCGGCATGAAACACAACGGGCCTTCTCAGGGCTCTGCGTGGCTGGAGGCCCTGACTCACACCAGGGGCAGGAACAGGGAGCATTTCCAACGCAGGCGCGAGGGTGAGAGGCGCAGAGGCATCGCGTGCTTTAGTCCACCTCCCTCCACGAATCCAAAGGAGCACTATGCCACCCAGCACCAGCCCAGGGGCCGTGCGTACAACAGACACTCAAGCAGATAGGACCTCCACAGGCTACAGCCCCAGAGCAGGGGAGGGTGGGGAGGGGGGCAGGGCGGGGAGGGGGGTGGGGAGGGCGGGGGGGGGTGGGGGAGGGCGGGGGAAGACAGAAGAAAGGCAGAAGGAACTGGGGGGGGGGGGGAAATGCGGGGAATGTGAGGGTGGGGGTGGGGTGGGAAGAGGGCCCTACTGATGCTGTCTCCCCAGCAGGTGACTTCAGAGGCAGGAAGAGTGAGACGCAGCCATCTCTACGCTCGGCTGGACGGGAGAAGGCGGTGGAGGCAGACTGCTCACCGTCTCGGTACAGATGGGGGACAGAGGGGTGTTGGTACTCGGCGGCGATGTCCGGGTTCCATAGCAGGCGGCTCAGAATAAACACCGCCAAGCCCGTGACGTCACTGTTGTCTTCCAAGGCGATGAGCTCCCCGAACACTGTCTGGGAGGGAATCGGAGCCACAGTCAGGGCTGGCGCCTCCCTCCGGGAGGCAGAGGGTGTGGTGGGAAGGCGGACAGCGACCTTCGCTCTCAGGCCGCCCCGCTCTCCCGCCGCAGGAGGGACGGGCCCGTGGCTGCCAAGCCGCCTCTGCACACTGCGACGCGTCTGACTCAACCGGCTTTAACATTCTCAACACGACTGAGCCTTGAACGACGGGAAAACCTCCAGTTCTGGTGCCACTTTTACGCCCGGTGTTCAGAAAGGCTGCCCTGCCTCAGTCGGGGTGGGGCCACAGCCCGGCCAGGGCTGGCACGCAGGTCCCTGCACACCCAGGCTCTGGGTCATCGGAGAAGGGGAAACAGCAGCACAGACCTCAATGGTGTTACCAGGTTTCAATTAGAAAATGGACTTAAACAGCCTGGTTTTGTCAAAAAGGAGCTTGCTCTACTTGTTAGTCTATCTAGCTCCGCATTATACATGTTTCAGAAACTAACGAAAAAGTGACGATAAAACTAAGCGGCGATGATCTACATTGGCTGGTCCCCGACTCAGGAGCACTTTCATTTTAAACGGGAAGAAAGAGCTAACGAAATGCTTTCCTAAGTGAAACCCTATTTTATTTTGAAAGTCTCCTAAAAGCACGTTTCTACAGTGCAGTCCTTGCCCAGCCGAAGGGAGTCCTCACCTCCAGACCAATGCGCAGCCACAGGGGGTTGTAGGACAGCAGCCAGTTGAGGACTTTCTGCCGCTCTCCTGAAACGCAAGCAAACAGCGCAGCTCAGACCACAGTCACCTGCCTTCGCGGAGGAATCAGCGGGAGGATGGGCAGGCACGTCTGTGAAGTTACTTTAAATGAACGAACTGCCACTCCAATACACATGACGGCATTGAACATGCGCGATGCAGGCAGCACAGCCCGTCCCGTAGGCGTGTAACCCTGACACGGCGAAGCCTCTGTTTACAGGGGGCGCCCTCGGGCTGGTCCCCACGTACCCACGTCCTTCCAGAGGTGCCTGTCTCTCCGGACAGCTAGCCGCCGGGCTGCGATCTCCCCCTCGAGCTTCCTAATGGCCTTCACCATGCTCTCGGAGGTGAAGAGGCGGCAGGCGGCGTGGCGCAAGTGGTTCAGCCGGCGCCGGGCCGTGTACGCCCGGAGCGACGCCTCCTCCTTCGTGGGGGCTCTGGGCACACTCAGCTTGTGATGGCTCTCCCCGCCCAGGAGGAGGGAGGCGGCATTCACTGCGAGGGAGGGAGGGGGAGAGAAGGGCCTGGTCAAGGAGAGGCACAGGCGCCCTCGCATCCAGCAGGGAACGCAGTCGCCCACAGTCACGGCCGCCCTTCCACACACTCTCCTCTCTTCCATCTCAAAACAAAGGTGTGGCCGTTCACTCGGCCTGGCCCGGAGGCCCATCTACCACTGCAACCTGTTGGTCCCACCCCAAGCCTCGCCACGCCTCCCAACCGCCGCCACCACCACCCACTTCAAACACTCTCTTCTGGGACCCAGACCAGGGGAGAGCCTCCTCGCTGGTTTCTCTGCCTCCACCCTCTTGGTAAATGACAGACACGCTCCTAGGGAGTGCGGGTTTTTAAATCAATTCCATTTTGAAATGCGATTTGCGTTTTTATCCAACACACTTCTCTCCAGAAGGGAACGAACATAACAGGCTCTGTTTCCTTGGAGACCATCTAACCCAAGTCCTTCGAGGTCAAAATCCTGCACGTGAAGAAGGTGGAGACAACATGCCCCTGCGATGAGGCCACGCAAGCCGCCTGTGTCTCCCAGGATTCCTGCCTGCGGACGGCTGAGTGGCCGCGGCTCCCTGTACCTAACCAACGGCATTAGAATAACCCACCTGCTAATGGCACTGGCTCGTGTGTAAGAACGAAAAGTGAGACGAAAATGCCAGGTTCCGTACGTTCCGTCCAGAATTCCCTAAAAGCTCTCCCTGACACAATCTTCAGCGTTTCTGTCAATAAATGACTGAGCATGCCATTGCTATAATAAATGACTGAGCATGCCATTACTGTAATAAATGACTGGAGCGTGCCATCACTGTAATAAAACATGTGCCATTAAAAAGGCCAACGCCGTGGCGGACCCCACCTGTGGAACAGGGTGCTGGTTCCCTGACGCGAGGACTCGGCGCTTACCTTCCGAGACGTGTGTCTTCACGGCGAAGTCGTCGGGCGTCAGGATGAAGTTCAGCCACCACGTGAGGCCCTGCTGCTGCTTCTCCTTCCAGCGCTCATCATAGAAGATGTTCTTCGCGGCGAACGGCATCGGGTGTCTCGGGATGTCTGAGGGCGCAAGGGGGTCAGGGCCTGAGACCTTTTCCTTTACATCGTTACAGGACACACAGCAACAGAGCATCCTGACTAGCAAAGGTGCCCGAGGACATGGAATAAGGGTTTCTGGCCCCTGCTCGCTGGAGACGGTGGGGAGCACGTGGGTATGAAACGCAATCCAAGTACAAAGGGAGAGCGAGGCAGCCCTGCTGATTTAACAACCCCGCGTCCCAGGAGCGGGTTCATGAGCCTGAGAAAACACCCTCATTGTGACTGAATACACATGCTTTCCCGCGTCTCCGAGGCTTTCGTTCAGCAAACACATTGTTCAATCCGTCCCCACTGGAAACACACTTCCTGCTCCATTCAACGTCAGTTTCCCAGGACTGTGAAGGCCAAAGACACTTGCCTGTTTTCAAGCGTTTTATGAAGGTCAAACTAGCCTGGGCCACAGGAACCATGCGTGGGGTCCGTTTGTGTGTTTTAGAGTTAGGAGTTTTGAATGCTAAAGAATCTAAAATAAATTATAAAGCAGAAGAAGAGCATTAAAAAGGGACCTGAAATCCCTGAATGAATGTTCTAGTTAGACGCGGCTGCTCCACGGTCCTGTCCATGCAGCGAACAGTAGCGACACGAAGCGCCAGGCCCGAGCTGCGCCGTGGGGGGGTCCCTCACCCCCTCAGTGGACGTGAGAGACTCCGGCTCGGGCAGGAGGCAGAGGAAAGGGGTCGAGACTAGAGACCCAACACGAACAGGAAGCTGTCAGAGGCCACGTCAGCCACGATGAGCAGCAGCTGCCACAGAAGCAGTGGCGACAGATGAGAGTAACAGCCCAACCACGGGGTCTTTCTGGGGGGCAGGGGGGGAGGCGGAGGCCTCAGGAGAAGAGAAGGGAGGTGGAGGCAGCTGCAGCGAAGCCACAAACCAGGAAAGGGGAGCTGAGCTGAAAGGCTTAGGGCTTCCTTGAGGTCGGAGGTCATGAATTTATTTATTATTTTAAATCCTCACATGAAGTGTATTGATTTGAAAGAGAAAGGAAAGGAGGGAAGGCAGGAGGGAGGGAGGAGAGAGGGAGGAGGAGAGAGAGAAACATTGATGTGAGAAACACCCATCGGTTGCCTCCCATTTGCGACCCAACCAGAAATAAACCCACAACCTGGGTACGTGCCCTGGCTGGACTGAGTACGTGCCCACCACCTTTCAGTGAATGGTACAATGCTCCCACCCACTGAGCCACCCGGACAGGGCAGAGGTCACGCACTGAAAGACCCACCGGCAAGGAGCAGGCAGAGTCCGCAGCGTGGGACTGGGGTTGGGATTTTCTAGGCAAGCACAGCGAGGGGAAGGACATGTGTGTGATGAGTGGAGTCCACGCTGAGGAAGACAGGAAGTGGAGGCCGCAAGTGTGTGTGGGGGGGGGGGGAGGGGGGGTGGATGAAAGGACTGCAGGTGCTGGAGGGTAGGAGGATGCTGGACCCAGAGAGATGGCGCGTGGGGAGGGGGAGGCTCTCAGGAGGGCGTGGCCCCGTCTTGCACTCTGTCCCACCTCCCGCTACGCAGACGGGGAACTGCAGCGGGCAGGTTAATGCAAGCTCAGCAGCAGCCAGTGTGAGACCCAAAGCAGCGGAAAGCGCGGCCTTTATGAGTGACGTTCTCAGGGACAACTCACCGGCTTTCTTCTTGGGGTGTGGCCTCCCTCGGCTGCTCCGACACTGGGAGGCGGGCGTCCCCGGCGCGTTTGTTTTCTTAGCAGTGGAGGCTCGAGACTCCGCGGGGGAAAAGTGGATCCTTTTGCTTTCTCGTTCTCCTGCGTGTCCTGCGCCCGCGCTCGCCCCGGCTGCGTCCTCCCCGCCTCCTCCGCTCTTTCTCTTCCGCGCCTGGAAGGCGGCCTTGCAGGAGGGAGCTGCTCTTCTGCACCCCTCAGGGTTGCCCCCCGCGGGATCTATAACCGGGAGGTAAGGATGAAGAGCATCCTCCTCCTCCTCCTGGTCGTCTGCTGCGTTTCTGCAGTCGCCCACCGCGCTGCGGAGGCATCGCCTGGCCTTCGGCTCGCTGGGCTCCGTGCCGCGCTCTCTGGGGCCCGCGGGCTTCGGTTTGGTAACGGTGGCCGAGAGTATGGGGCGTCTCCGGGGCTGTGCACCGTGGGCCTGTCCAGCAGTATCTTGAGCCGCGGGGAATGCAGGCTGCTTCTGTTTTGTAAAACTGTGACCATCTGGTATCATTTCCGAAGCCTCGGGTTCTGCAAAAATAGCTTTGGGAGAGTTCGCACCCTGATTTCCAGGAATAAACGGTAAAACTTCGTTTTTTCTCTGCCCCGGAGGAGACGGCGGGGCCTGAGAACGTTCTTTTGACAGCGGTGATAACTCACAAGTTGGTTGAGAGAGAGATAAATACGGCATATTATCTCTGACAAATTGATTTGGGGATACAAATGGATTCACTGACTCTGATTCTAGCTTCTGATTTAGTCCATAATTATCCTTAAGGAAGGAATCGGGACTTAAAATTGTCCGATAAATTTCATGTATAGTGTTTGATTCCAAATGCCGGGGCCTTGAATCATCTTTGAGAAACGTATCTGGTGAAACGGTCACTGGTTCTAGTTTATTACTAGCTCTGCGGCTGTTCTTTACAAAGGAATCTGGACTTAGAAAATCCCCTTGGCTCTGGGTAATGTTCCAAGTGGAAGAACAGTTTGGGGTAAGACTACGTTTACCATCCTCTTCAATCTGGCCGTTGATACCAGTCAAGGAGTCAAAGGAAGTTTCCGTTATGACTTTCCCATTAAACTCTTTGCGCATGTGCGCACCTTCCAATGTCCACAGCTCCCCGCTCTCAGGTGAATGGAGAGATGTGTAGGTGGTGGACCGCCGGACACAGAGTGGCAAGCACGTGTCCCCGTGGCATTCTTTGAAAGTGGGGCTAATGGGGGAAATGGGTATTTTATTCTCTTGGAGGATTAGAGAATTGTTTTCTGTTGGGGAACAGCCTTCATTCCCACCCAAATTTTCACAAGCTTGTAGAGGGCTCCTAACTCTGTCAGCTTTGGGGGGAACGCTGAACGTCTGATTAACATTCTGAATATTTGAAATCCTTTTCTTATGGCTTGAAGAGGACGAAACTTTCTTCTTTTTAATGGTATCCCAAAGACTCCTCTGCAAAAATAAGCAAAACGGACAGATTAAGTTGATGGCTGCTGTATGTTACCTTTAATCAGAAAATTTATGTACGTCACTCACTTCAACAAGAGTGTTATCAAAATAATTTTTACACATTATCATTTTCTTAGAGTAAACCACAGAATGATTAAAAGTTATTACCTTTTTCTTTCTCGGCTCTTCTGCATTTCCTAGTAATATAACTTCATGTTTCAGAATATCATTTACAAGAAATGTCAGGATCTCTCTCACTCGGCCTTCTTTTACTGGTGTCCAGTTAACAGAAATAACAATTTTCTCCTTAGGCTGTAATCAAAAGGGTATGTTTAAATTACTGTAACAGTAGACTATGAATAATAACCAATACATATAATACACCACTCAGACTACAGTGCAAGATTAGTAACCGTTACCCACCAACACTCTACACCATAGTAACATTTAAGTCAAATATACTTCCCTAACCTAGCTCATTTTATTACAAAGAAAAAAGCTACTGGTAATAACAAGGTTCACAATAGAATAAAATGGCAACACGATCTTAATTGTAAACATAGCAATGGCACAGTCTCCTAATCATGTTTCATTATCAGTAAATCACAGTATTTCTACTCCTTTAGGATATGCATACGACTACCGGTTGGACTATAGAAGAATTTGCATTATTAAGACTTTTGCCCCCCAAAAATTTGAAAAGAATCAACTAAGCTCCTTCTCCCAGGAGCTTCTATGAGCACAGCCTCGTGACCACCCATACTTGTTAAACACCACGTTCCAGGCACAGTCCGGGGCGCCTCCTAGCACAGCTTCCGCCCTCACAGGCCCGGGAAGCAGTGCTGTGACCACCACCTCTCACAGGCCAGGTGACCAGAGGCCAGGAGACCAGGGGCCAGGACGCTTTCCGTGTTCTACTTTCTGTATTTCAGTCAGAACCAGAACCCAGGCAGTCGGACCCCGGAGTTCAGAATTGGGCATCTACGCCCCGCACGCAGCCTGAAACCCTGCCAGGACGGAAAAAACTCCGGGGCTGTGGTTGTTCCGGGCAAAAAAAAAAAAAAAAAGGCAAGTTATTTTCAAGCAAAAACTGTCAAACATCAGAAACATCTGGTTAAAAAAATACACAAAACAATGAACTCGATCAAACAGTACATTCTAAAACAAGCAAAACAAAAAAAAACCCCATTCGTTCCAAATAACAAAAAGGAATTATTATGCAGGTAGGAAACTGGGGATCTAGGATTCCCGAGAACTGGAGGGGAGGCGGGGCCCCAGGGGAAGAACCCCGGTTGACACCCAGGTGGGCGACCTCGGCTCCCGGCCTCTGGGCGGGGCCTCCCCTCCTGAACCCCTGGGACCCGCGGGTGAGCCACACATTCGGAGAGACGTTCTCCCGGGTGGAAAGGCCGCCGCGGCCAGAAGAACTGACAGTCGATGGGTTTCGGTGGTAACGACGGGAACAGGGCTCTGGCCAGCGCCATGCAGAAGAGCCACCGGGGAAATCCCGGGAAACCCCAAGTGATGGGATGAAACTCGGTCCGTGCACCGAGAAAACTCCAGGAGTTCATTCCAAGCGCCCTCTAGCCGCGATGCCTGAGGTCTCGACTTTTCGTGGCTGATGCACAAGAACTTTCAGAATTTTTAAAAATGGAAGTCTGAGGCACTGACCTCTCTTGCCTTAGATTGTCAAATTAAAACAAACCAAACAGACAAAACAGACAACAGCCAACACAACAACAGCGGTCCGGGGTGAATGAATCACAATCATGCCTGTTTTTATTTTGTCAGATCAGCAAAAATATATATTTGGGGGGGGGGATCAGATTAGCAAAAATTATATTTTGGGGTGTGCGCTGCAGAATTTTGGTAGTTAGCATACGTGTGCCCGGAGGCGAACCGGGTGGCTCATCGCTGCTCCATTCAATCGGCTCTGGAAATGCGGCCAGGGATGCTCCGCGCATGCGCGCTGGGGTGCGGTCCCCCCCCCCCCCATCCCTCTCCGAGACCGGGGACCGGGATGGCCCCCGAGTCCTCTAGGGTCCCCCGCGTCTGTCTTTTCCTCTCCGGGCCCCACCCCGACCCCGACCCCGACCGGGCCGCGGGGTGACGGCGGGGACGGGGCGAGCGCCCGGCCCGCACACCCACCTGCAGCTCGAAGGCGCGCGGGCAGACGCGGAAGCCGCGGTCGGCGGCGGGCCCGCGGGGCACTGTCACGGCGGCCGCCTCGGCGTTGGGGTTGAGCACGGCCAGCGGCAGCGTCCGCGAGGCGCCGGGGCGCAGGTCCCCGAAGCACACGAAGGGCCGCGGGCAGAAGTGGCTGAGGATGAGCACGGGCGGCGGCCCCCGCCCCGAGGCGCCCGCGCCCCCGCAGCCTCGCCGCGCCGCCATGCAGCCCGGGCCGCCCCGCAGAGAAAGCCAGTCGCCTTGTCCTCCTCTCCCAGGCGCCCGCACCCCAGAAACGAACGGAACGAGCCCCTCAAAACACTCGCCGACACAACACGGGCGATACTAGGGGTGGCGTCGGCCTCGGCTTAAACTTCCCTCCGCCACCAATGGGCACGCGCGGCCCCGCCCATGTCCCTCGCAGAGCCAATCAGCGAGCAGCGGCGCCGTCAAACCTCCTCAGGGGCCAATCGGAGGGCGGGACGGCCGAGCCAATGAGACGGCAGCGCTTCATTTAAATGATGGCTCTGTCGCGCTCTCCGCGGGGGGGCCGCAAACCGAGGCGGGGTCTTTGCGACACCTGGAAACCCGTTGCTTAGAGACGGAATCCGCCTTTTGGTTTTGCAAAGAGCTGGTGTCGAGGGGAAGACAGGGGCGGTGGCAGCCTTTGCACCGGAGGTAGAGCCGCCCTTGCGGTTGCCAGGGGCAACCTCGGGCAAAACCGTTCAGGAGCCTAATGTGGCTCCAGCCCAGAGTTATAGTCATTCACTGGGTTTTTTTCTCGCGGTTTCCACGGCCGAACGGGAGAGAATGAAGACGATGAGATGTCCAGTTTGTGCGAACGGGCTTATTTCAGTGAGTGACCACAGCAGGGAGTCAGTGCGTTTACATGCCGGGTTTTTATTTATTATTGAATGTACTGGGGTGACATTGGTGAGTAACACACAGGTCTCAAGTGCACAGTTCTACAATATTGCATTGTGTCTTTCTATTGCATTGTGTGTTGGCTGGTTCTTAACTAGAGATTTCTGGGGGCAAAAGTAGATGAAACCTGAGATTCACAATTAACTCACGACTGATGGCGTTGGCAGGCCATCCCTGGACAGATAAGTCCTTGGTTTTATCTAATAACATATACATATATGCCCAGGGTGGTTTTAAGCCCCAACACTGTTGGATGGGACCCATTAACCTGTATCTTACGGATGTGCACGAAGGCCAGCAAGAGGCAAAGCCAGGATATGTATCAGAGGAGGCGTGGCCCTAATCTTGCCCTTACCCTACATCACTGCCTCTAAAGGCAGTAGGAAACTCTGTTTTTGTTTTATATTTTTATTGATTTTAGGAAGGGAGAGGGAGAGAGAGAGAAACATCCATGATGAGAGAGAATCATTGCTCGGCTGCCTCCTGCACACCCCCCACTGGGGATCGAGCCTGCAACCTGGGGCATGTGCCCTTGACCGGGAATCCAACTGTGACCTCCTGGTTCATAGGTCGATGCTCAACCCCTGAGCCACGCCAGCCGGGCGGAAACTTTAAAAATATGTATGGGTATGGTATGGGTACACAAACAATGTCAGAAAAACATCCCTGGTTGAAAGGCAATGCGGAAGGTGAGACAGGCAATGACATTCACTGATACCCAATGGGGCCTGAAGTGGACCCGTTACCTTAACAATATTTAAACAAAACTGTTACAGAGGTGTGTTGGCCCCGTTCAGACTGGTGTACAAGGAGAACACTACTACAGAGTTTTCTAAGCAAAAGTGTTAGCATGAATGATAATTCCAACAACACTTCATTTACATTGTCATATGGTGAATATCATCCTTCAGATTAACATTGCAAATACAAGCCTTCTTACGCCTCAGTCACTGAAAAGTTGGTTTCCGATCCATGGCGTAGTTCATTTTGTTTACTAATCATCGTTAGCATGTAAATGTATATTAATTAGCCACTTAAAAACCATTAAATCATTTAATACATTTAATATGTAAAATACCGCAAAATATCTGGCTGATGAGAAATGAAATTGACACAGATGTGCCCTGGAATGCTCGGTTTTCCATTTGTTCACGGTCGTTGACTCACCCAGGTACTGAGTACCACATCCCCATGCCAAGAACCTGTTCAGTAAGACCTGGAGATGCTTTATGAAGATCCAAGAACTTTATTTTAAGTATCAAAATCACACAGAGAACTAGTTCGGCGTACAACATCCTCCTCGTCACAGACACGGGGACTTTTCTACAAAGACATTGGTACTTCAGAAACACGGGGCAGCCCACGTATCCAGAAAACACACCCGGGAACGTCATACACGGTCGACAGAATGACGCCTGTGGATATCTGAGGTTTCTCTCTGTAACTGCTCTGACACGTGTCCTTAGGGATTAAAACAAAACTTGGGAGCTGAGACTGAAAACTAAGTTCGAAAGCATTTTCACTTTAATGAACATCGTGAGTGCCCTTCATCCTAACAGGTGCTACGCAGCGTGGAGCAGCTCAGTGCTCACCTCTGCACTCATCTGTTGGCCGCCACACTCATCAGCTGTCCTCCAGTTTCATCTGCAAGTCAAGCCCAACTGTTGGAAGGAATAAAAGTTTTGTAATTGCACCCCAGGGTGCTGTCCAACTTCACCGCAAGCAGGAATGCCGAGCAAAGAGGAGAAATAACCGTGAGAAGTGTACCTGCTCTTTATTCAAAAAACAGTTTAGAATTTCCAAAAGTAATGCAAGCACTGACAATACTTAAGAATTTGAAAAAAAAAAAAAAAGAGGTATGTCGTCTCTGTATAACCTCTATTCCGTCAATATAATCTTCATTTCTATTTATATAATGGCTACAGAGGCTAAATTTAGATTCTTTGGGAATTTTTCCAATAGTCATAGACTTAAGATCAATCGATACATAGCAAGTTGATGCGTGAAGAGTAACAAAACGTAGGCTTTCTCTCTACCAAAATCTCTCATCTACCACACAAGCTAATCCTATTACTTTTGTCTTGTTAAGGCTACTTCCAAAGGAGGTGCGGAGGGCATGCTAATATTCCTGCATAAAAGGACCGTGAAGTAGAAATAGTTTGGAAGGAAATAAAGAGGCCGATCCCCCTCAGGAAACCACTGCCGACTTTACCGAGAGACTACGCTTAAGCAAGCGAAGGGCCTAAGAAAGAATTGTCCAATTTTCTAAACGGGTTAGAAAACGATTCTCACATTACCCATCATTCGCTCTAATAGCAGGTAACACTTGCCCATGACCCTATTTGAAGTCTTAGAAATGCCACCGGCTTCTGGTACATTCTCATCATTTTAAATTTGGCACGGAATCTTCGAGTCACCCCAACGCGACTTTCAAAGTCCTCCCTCTGCCCACGCTGATACGCTCCAGCTGTTAGCCGGTTGGCTGGGTTGCTCCTGCGCCTAAGGGCAAACTCATCTCAAGCCATCACCACCCTCAAACTGAACTCAGAAGCCACTCAGTAGAGCTGTGTGGTTATGGTGACTGATTATTATTAAAAAACTGGGGGGCGGGAGGAAGAGACAGAGAGACAGACACACAACTCGTTTTATTTTATTTGTTAGATTCCTCTATGAAGCGTATAGAGCCAGGCCTGGGAGTGTCTTTGCGGTGACTATGAAGGCCAAAAGAGACATCAAAACACAAACAACAAATATTCACACAAGTACGTGAGTGCCTATTTCCTTACGTAAACATAAAGCAACCTAAAAAAAAAAATTATAATAAAGTGCTGCCTGACCAGCAGGCCACACACACATAAGACCCATAACAACAAAAATAATCAAACCCCGTTATTAGCCGGCACACGCTGGCCGGCGGAAGCAACTCGAAGCAACGACAACACAGGGAAAAGGCACAGAGCATTCCATCCAGACAAGACGGTCAGAGAGCCAGGGCACCACGTCTGGCTTGTCCCCGGGGACACGGTCGAATGATCTGGAAGGAGGAAAACGCAAACTACCCAACCTACCAGTTTAGCTGTGTCTTTACTTTGCTTGCAATTGGAGAACGGAAAACGATGCCTGATATTTTATACTAGCCCTCAGCTAACGGTTCATAGGTACTCCGCTAAGATGCTTTGACACTTTAAAAGGTCGACCGAACGTGATCAGTGGGCCAAACTTCGCCCAAAAGGAAGTCACTTTAGGGAAGCACCAGGGTAAGCCCTATCTTGGCTGCTCACTCTTCTCGTGGCAATAAATGACTACGTTACTTCAAAGGACGCCAAGACCGCCACCTTCGGAGTTAGTTACATCTTGCTGGATGCAGAACCGACCCTAACCTAACATGGCATCTTAGACTGCAAAAAAAAATAGGTGGAGTGTTTCATACAAAAATAACTTCAACTCGTCTTAAAAAAAAAATCTAAGGCAAATGATTTGAATAGTGTAGTGTAAAAAATAAGCTTACTGTTATGCATTTAATAGTGTTCACTGAAGGTAACATTCTATGCATTAAACTGAGGAAAACAGCGTTCTTCCTTGTGATTCCTTTGTCAGTATGACTCTTCCCAGAGTACTTTCTTCTGTTCTTGTTTTTATACGTATAAACACAAACACTTCATCTTAGTATTCAAACTAACAATTTTTTTTTTTTTTAAATCCATAAGCCTAGGACTTCAACTGTGCTTCTTTGGACAAATATTTATTCAGACAACGAAGAATTTAAATTCTTTTGAACTATTGCAATACCTACTAAAATCTTTGGTGCATTTAAGTAAAAACGGAGCAGGTTAACAAATCTCTACACTTTATAAATTATTCCACTTACATATTGAGTGCTAACTGCTATCAGCTAAAACATTAATTTAAAACAATAAATTATGCTCATAAGATAAAAAATTCTGAATGAGGCTAAGCTTAGTTGCAAAATTCAAAAGTTAAGTACAGGTACAGAAGTAACGAATTTTAGAGTTGACGGGACATTTGTCCCAGAAACTCCCAAATAGTACAAAAGGTTAAGTGAAAAGAGGAGGCGTTTCATATTTCTTGTGCCAACTTCAAAAACTATATACATTCAGTTTGCCCAAATCTACGAGGTTTTCACCAGTTTAGTGTTTCTTAGGCTCTAATTTGGAAATTAGAGGCAGCAGATTGGAATTGTTTGCTTGTTCGTCCGCTGAGACTCTCGCTTCGTCAGAACCACCCTTCCCTGCCCAGCCTGCTGACAATGACGCGAGAACACACGGGGCCTGGCACCTGGGAGGCAGGACTGAGCCACGTGTCCTTCCCTAGAAGCCGGGACCTGCCACTCATCAATGATGGGGCGTACCTGCGTCCTTCGCCTCAGACTCCCTCTCTCCAAACTGGGAAGACGGCACGTGCAACTCGCCCTCAGAGCTCGGTCTGAAGTTTGCAGAAGATGACTTGGGAAAGCAATTTATAAACCTCTGTTCAGGCGTAGTGACCTACAATCACTACATGGATTTGTATTTCATTCTACGGAAGAGATGCATTCCGGAAAAGCTGCCTACTGTAAACCAATCCCTACCACCGAACCATGTATTTAAAGCATTAGATTACGAAAAGAACCCTAAAGTAAATACCTTCAAAATACAAAGCGTTCTTTTCCATGTGAAAATGCAACACCCCTTCTGTCCTGCTACCAAACAGAATACACCCTGTACACACACGTCTAGACCCTCTGCCTTTTTGCAAGTCCCAGTCTTCCACGCAGCTTGTACGCGAGGCCGGGCACACTGCTGGGTATGATGACTTCTTTTCCTAAGAGGAACTTTGTTAGTTCAAAGCCGTGTTGTTCTTTGTTAAAAATCCTAAGGATACGTATTCCTCAAAGCCGATCTGAAACACTAACAGGCTAACAGTACCTCACATTGTCAAGTTCAGCCATGTAAGTACCCAGATAGATTATCGTTTCCACACAAAAGGATGTGCCAAACAGGAGAATTCATACATTAATTCCATCTACCGGTCCTAGACTGACTATAACCAAATCTTAACAACTGAGGCAAAACTCAGGCTGGTTTTCTTATTTACAAGAGCTACGTGGGGTAAGTAGCCTCAATTCTCACCACTTTTTCTCCTCTTCCCACTAGGACGACACACTGTAAAGTACCTTCCTTTCTTAAGTGCTTCAGCAAACACCTGTCCCCATGAAGTGGCTAAATTTTATTAAAACTTCATTATTTTATTTGTGATTTTTTTTTTTCTCACAAGGACCAGGCCAGACATTAGTTTACATTAAAAAAGTGCTTAAAGCAATCAGGGGTGTAAACAAAACGGAAATAGCAAACTCTTCACATTGCTATTTTCCACCAGTTTACATACAGACGACAGGCCACGGGAATCAGCCCCGCCTATCGGACCCTCCCAGCAGCTCTCCTCGCAAACAGTGGCCTCGCTGAGGATGAAGCTGACCTGAAGATGCGGAAAGTGCACACCTTTAAAGGTATCTCACTGACTTGTTCCTCAGTTACCTGTACTCAGTGAGGAGTCCCTGTAACTGCCATTTCCCTTCACCAAGTGCTCACCTTCTGTCTCAGACGACAACAAAGATCCAGGAAGATTAGGCCCCAGGCTTATGGGAAAAGCAGACATAAACCTGGGTTCCATGTACACCTGTACACACACAGCGGTTCCCTGTAATGACTAGTAAACAACATTGAGAGGAGACAGACACACAGAGTATAATTTGGCACCTTTTCTAACAACGGTGTGTGGAATATCACGGTTCTGTTTCCTAGAGTTTCAGTCAGCCAGCGTCAATGAGACCAAACATCACCTGTGAATTACATTTCATTAATCGGTGAGATGAAGATCTAGGCTGTGATATGTTAATGGGAAATAAATGGCAGCTAGGACAGGTGAACTGACCTTGAACGATACTATCACGTTTTGCTTTCTACACATTATCAATTGTGTAATTTAATGCCTAGAACTGCATTTGCATTTCTTATTCATGTTCACTGAAGCATAGGCAAAAACCAATTTGGATACAGTGGGGCCTTGACTTACGAGTGTCCCGACTAACGAGTTTTTCGAGATACGAGCCGTCTCTCGGCCGATTTTTTGCTTTGAGTTGCGAGCTAAAATTTGGGTTACGAGCCAGCTTCAGATACCCCACCACTAGCTGGCGCAGCGAATGTCACAGTGAACGCCACAACATCAGCCCAGCATCACGTGTCTCACTCGTTCACTTTAATGATTTGAAATACGAGTAATTTGAGTTACGAGCTCCGTCCCGGAACGAATTAAACTCGTAAGTCAAGGCCCCACTGGAGTTATTTCCATTCTGCATTTCATTGAACACGCTACTCTGACACGCGTTAGCTTTCTGGCTTTTTGCCAAAAGACCAAAGGAGAAAGATAACCTAAAATTATCAGGTAACCAGACTAAGAAACAATACAGACACACCCAAGACTTCCTTATAAATACAAATCCCTAATACCAATTTCCGGAAACCTGGAGGAAATAACGAATCTCTGTTAGGATAAGGGAAGGGTTGCGATTATCAGTAAACTCTCGCAAATTCTTTCCTAAAGCCTACATGGTCCTTAAGCTTGTTCGGAAGAGGGGGAAGGGAGAGAGGAGGAATGAGACTAAAGAATAAAATGTCCACTGATGATTCAAAAAATCAAAACATAATGTCAACAGCTAATAATTTTGAAAAGTTTGAGATTCCATTAAAATTAGCGCTAAATAATCCTTTAAAATCATAAAAATGTTCACTTCAAATACCTCAGTATGTGTCCAGATATTCACATGTTCAGTAAACAGAGATGCGTATTTTTTCTTGATTTGCGACGGCTCTGAGTACTTGAAAATGAAAAAAAATCGCAGCCCTACCCGTTGAAAAGCCACCTGCACCAGGCGGCCGGCACGCGAGCATCCAAGAAACCCGTGGACCGCGTGGACGCCCTCACGCGTGATGCTCCGCGTCCGGCAGGTTCTGCACGGCCGTGGCGCTATCGAGGCCCAGCAGCGTCCCGAGGTAGGACTGTTCCCGGGGGTCCAGCATCTGCTCGGGCCGGACGGGGTGAACTATATTTGCGGGCTGGGGGGTCAGGGTGTATTTTTCCAGAAAAGCTAAGTCGGCTGCCCGCGGGTAGTCGGCTGCCGGTGGCTGTGGCGACAGGATGTCGTGCGAAGACGGTGGGAGGGGGGTGCTGTGCTGCCCCAGGTCGCTCGGGGCGTCGGGCATCTGCACGGGAACCAGCGTCACGGGCACGCACACCTCGGCAGACACGTCCTGTAGCATCGCCTTGGCCTCCGTCGGATACGCTTTGGGCTGGTCCGCGTACTGTTTTGTCTCTGCCGGGAAGATCTTGTCGTCGGACGAGTATTCCCCGGGCAAGGCCACGAGCTTCTCCTCGGAAGCGCTCAGGGCGTCGTCGGGGGACTTGATGCCATGCACGTGGTCCGTGTGGTACTTGAGCTTGTCTTTCCGCTTGAACGTGGCGTTACAGTACTGACAGTAGAAAGGCCGGGCGTCCGAATGAATGACCAGGTGCTTGGTCAAGGTTTTCTTAATTCTGAAGGACTGATTGCAGATCTGACACTTGTATGGCTTTTCACCTGCATGAACAAACATCAAGTGTCAAATGCACTGGCTGGATAAGACAATGGTTTTAAGTAGCCAATTTCCATGCGGATTCTTACAAGAACTTAATAAAATAATGCAATAATGTTATGTGCTGTCACAACGCAGTCAGCTGGTAAAACAGGGAAAGACTTGGGTTTGAATTCTGGCTGTGCCCCTTACTAGACAACCCTTGAGCAAGCGTCCCAATTCTCAGTCGTCAGCCCCGGCCATTGTCATTACAGCTGGCATTCACTCTCCTTTGTTCTCACAGTGGCCTCTGTGTACCCCCCGAATGGGGCTTCTTCATCTGGAGGGAGGTGTGATTTTGCTTGTCACAGCAGCACTGGGTCAGTCATAAATTCTATCCTGTAATTCTTGCCTATTGAAATCACCCAAATCCGGTTATTTCCCCCATTCTGGTTTTTATGAACGCAATTATCGTTCTTTTCCAGAACAGCCGCATGACAACACTCAAACTCAATATAAAACAAAGCGGCTGGCTCTAACCGGTGTGGCTCAGTGGATAGAGCGTCGGCCTGCGGACTGAAGGGTCCCAGGTTTGATTCCGGTCAAGGGCATGTACCTTGGTCACGGGCACATCCCCACTGGGGGGTGTGCAGGAGGCAGCTGATGGATGTTGCTCTCTCATCGATGTTTCTGATTCTCTATCCCTCTCCCTTCCTCTCTGTAAAAAATCAATAAAATATATTTTAAAAAAAAACAAAGCGGCTGAAAATGCATAAATGTGCCTCTTTCTCAAAGAAGAAGAGGAAGAGCACGAAAAACTCCTCACTGATATGAGACGTCAGACACAGACATCCACGGAGGAGTCCAGCAGAGCCGATGTTTCACAACAGGCAGCAGCGCCCGGGGAAGAGGAGGATGAAGAACGTGGCCCCTTCCGGAAAGCAGCAAAGCCAGCCGTTCTCCTCGCCCGCCTGTGAGTGACAGCTGACGCGGAGGAGAAGGACACGGGGGCACTTGCGGGCGAGGCAATGAGGCCACATTCGAATTACTTTTTCAAAGACAAGAAAATAACTGATTCAGAGTTCGCAGATACAGAGGAGCCATAAACAAGCAGACAAGAGGAGAGGAGAGCCACGCTGAGTCCATTCCCGACGGGAAAGGTCTTCCCCTAACTGTACAGAAGGACGTTCACAGCATTAAAGCTTCTGTCAGCGAGAAGGGGAGACCGGAATTCAGCTCATCGGTAACGTCAACCTTTACGTAATGAGTACCAGTCTTAATGGGGGAAAAACAAAGCAATTTAACCGAGAACAACAAAGTTTAAATGCCTCTATTTTACTCCTGAATACTACACAGAGGTGTATATATATATATAAACTACCCATTAAGTTTTACCTGAATGCGTCCGAAAATGCATTTCGAGACTTGATTTGCCTTTAAAAAATTTCTTACAGACATCGCATTGATGAAAGGTGGCTTTATATCTAAGAAAATAAAAAGGGTAGAGTTTTTTTCAGCGTCATTTCAATAAGTCATACACCACAAATCGAAGTACAATGGTGTCAAAGACAAGCACCTGTGAGACCAAGTTGGGCGCTGAAGTGGCCACTGTCTTCGTGGAATACATACCATTTGACTTGAAAGAACAAAAGACAACCTACAGTTACAGACGTGAATATTCTGGTAGGTACTTCCTCAAAAATTAAATGAAGTGAGCCTGTCACTTCAAGGGGGAAAAACTGACAATACCGGTTGCTGATAAAATTGGAGCTTTCAAACTAATGTAAGACTTTGGGGAAACTTGCATTTGCCCTTGATCTTGGCAGGGTTCCAGCACTCCATTCTGGGACGCTGGCGGAAGTATTAGCCAACGTGACTTGTTGATCCGTCCCGTGAAATACACTGACACTGGAAAATCTGTAACTCAGTGAGCCCCTATTTCCAAATGACGAACGCAGGATACGACAGTGTCATGTAGGTAACACACCCATTCAAAGTGCAAGGCCGACCAAGAGATTCCAGGCATCAGAGGATAAACCCCATGCATCTTGTTCAGGTCCCCCCTAGCTCCTACCCTTACGAAGCTACCACTTGCTGAGTTTCAGTGTGGCTGTCACGAATAACACCCACAATTACCTAAGAAAAAGGCTACTGTAACACTCCTCTGTTAACCAACCGTGTATCTGAGGGAGGCTAGGTTTTCTTCATTTCCTTCAACCAAAATAACACCCGTGACAGCAGATAGGACAATCCAGCTCTGAGGCCGTGAAAGGGATTTGCAAGAATGTACACCACCCCACTCTCTTGATAGTTTTGTTCTGTGAAGGACTTATCTTTCACACAAGTGCTATTTATGTGAGCATGGGATGGCCGTCTCATTACTAAATGAACTAATAAGAACTTACGTTTTTCTCATCTTAATTTCTAAGGATTCATGTAATGTATCTCACCTATAATTCAGCATCTATGTTGTAAGCACATAAACAAAGGCTCCCAAGGCACTGACCCATTGTAAGGGTACAGAGGGGTTGAGGCTCTGGAGCGGTGAGCGTGCGGCCCGTCTTCCACCCACGCACACGGGCTGCTGAGGCTCTGGCTTCCTTCTCCGCATGGCATCGGGGGTATTTGCACGGCCCAGCCCTTCAGAGCCTGCTGGCACCTCGTGAGCCCAGAGTAAAACGACCCCTCTGAACACACTGATGCAATGAGTGGGTCGCTGAACAAGGTCAGCGAAGGTCAGCGAAGGGAGCGCCAAACCAATGCATGAAAATGAGCAAAGGATGCAGTCGCCTGCCTAGTGGTCCGCAGACCCGTCTCCAGCTCCTGCCGTTATAGACGCTGTGGGCAGCACGCTCAGGACTTGTCACTAGGCGTCCGGGCACCTTGGACCACGCCTGCTACTTCGCACTTGCTCCAAATACCGCGTCCAAGAGCATAAACTCATTCAACGTTTTACACTCGACAACTCAGTTAAGCTCGGCTGTCTAAACTGTACTAAAAGGTGGATGCTCCGGACCATGCACGCCTCCTTCAAATGAAATGCCATGTTCAGTGCTTAGGATGGTTACAAAGATTTAAGTTCCGACTGCACACATTCCCGGTAACGGCTGTCTCAGTAAGTGTAACACACAGGCAGTGCCAGGCACGAGAGCCACAGCAACCAACACACACGAATCCCCCAAGGAGCCGAGCTTTTGTGTGAGTCATCAAGTTCAATGTCCACCCCCCAGCCTCTGAACAACTTGGTACTGATGCCTTGCTCAGCCCCCACAGGTCTGCAGAGAAGCTACGGCAGTGAGAGAGCCGGTTAGCCAATATCCCCAACCAAACAGCAGCAACTGAGACACCTTGTGAGTCCCCCCAACCCAGGCTGATCGGACGCGGCGCTGAGGAGAAACTACCTGTCCACTTACTTCTGCCACACCTTCTCTCCGAGGTGCACGCTCTTGTAATGAACAGTGAGATGATCCCTGCGGCCAAAACATTTTCCGCATTCTTCACACTGATGAGCCTTTTCACCTTAAAGACCCAAATATCTGATTATAATATGCACTTCAGTTTCCCCCCAGAAAAAAATTACCAAACAGGAAAATAACACGGGGAGATACAGACCAGGAAAGTAAAGCCACCCTCAGCTGAGGGTGTAACGATCTGAAATTGATCGGCATGATTAAGGTACACTTTAAACAAAAAAATAGGGTTTCAAAAATTCACCGTGACATGAACTTGAACACCCAGGTACAATCATTTCTCTTCAAGCTTCCATGTTCTAACTTCCTTCATCTCCAATCAAATGATAAATATTATCCTGGCATCTCCCTTTAGGGCAGCGGTTCTCAACCTGTGGGTCGCAACCCCTTTGGGGGCAGAAAGACCCTTTCACAGGGGTCGCCTAAGACCATCGGAAAACACATGTATAATTACATATTGGTTTTGTGATTAATCACTATGCTTTAATTATGTTCAATTTGTAACCATGAAAATACATCCTGCCTATCAGATATGTACATGACGATTCACAACAGTAGCAACATTACAGTGATGAATTAGCCACGAAAATAGTTTTATGGTTGGGGGTCCCCACAACATGAGGAACTGTATTAAAGGGTCGCAGCATTAGGAAGGTTGAGAACCACTGCTTTAGGGAGTCGTGGGCAGCCATCGCTGCATAATCCACACGATGTGCACAATGCTAATGTTGAGCATTTGATTAAAACAATTTTAAAATATAGTTTGTAGTCACTAAAGACAACCAAGTAATTAAAGTTACAGTGGAAAAAAAATGGGTCATAAAATGATGTCCCTTTCAAATGCTTCTTAAAAAAGGTAGTTGGGACCAGGGTTCAAAGGAGTGGCCTACAGAGACCCAATCATTGGACTAATAGCCAGCGTTAATTAGCATTGAATAGCATGTACTTTTCAGGTGCGTGTTACAGAAAGACTTCGGAACAGCTTGGCCAAAGACACCTCACCTGAATGTATCTTTTTGTGCTTCGTCAGGTGGTCGTGGCGAATAAATGTTTTCCCACACTCGTCGCACTCGTACCTCTTGTCATCGTGATGGACTCGCAAGTGAAGTCTACAGGGGAACAGAGTTCAAGAGCACGGGAGGCGGTGACTCCGGGGGAACAACGAGGGTGACTCCACGCGGGGGGAGCGGCTGTCTGCTCCCAGCCTCATCCCGTCCCGGCTCCCTTTCTAGGTCTGAGCCCTTCCTGCTCTGACTACCCGACTCCAGGCTTCCTGCTTCCCCACCTCTTCAAACGAGCACTCAGCTCCGCCCAGGCTCCCACCCCGGCCGGACGACACTCGCCCCTGACCTTTCAGATCCTCCAGCTACTTCACTAGACCCAGCACGCGCTGGACTCGTATCCCTCTGGCCAGTGAGGTCTCCGAGCAGCCAGAGGAGAGAATCCAGAAGGACTGGCAGCAGGCGGGTAGGTGCCCAAGGGACAGACTCGTATGGTGGCCAGCGACAGCCAGTAATTAAAGGGACCCTTTCGGAGCACTGGCAGTGCTGATAAAGTGACAGTTGAGAACTGAGTGGATGTCTAAGTCATCAGCTTTCTGACAATTACATTTTACTGCTGTTCTTCATATCTAACCAGACAAAATATGGCTCATTTCGTAGTTACCCAAGGACAGATTATAAAAGGTTTAAATTCTTAAAACTGGTTTAACTGGAATTATTTTTATCCTCACCGTCCTCCAACTATGTCTGTCCCAGAGAAACGAATAGCTTTCTCATTCAAGTCGCCCAAACATGCTTACTCTACTGTCACTAAAACTGTAAACTGACTGAATTCCTGCAAAGGGAAGCATTCTGTTTAAACTTGGAGGTAAATAGCAAAGCCTTAAGGTTAACATCCTTCAGAGAATTAATTAAAAGTAAAAATTGTACACGTATCCCCCAGTACACAGTCACCTATTCATTCAGAAAAAAAAGCAACTTTTCAGAAACTGCAAATGTGGTCAAGGATTCAGTTGCAGAAATAATTACATGAACTTCAAATAATGAAGACTTTCAAAAACTGAGAATCCTGGAGTTTTCCATTTTGCCGTATTTTCATACCGAACTATTCTTGGACAATCGAGAGTGAAGAAATACACTAAGTTCTGAACACCAGAGTTATAATGAATTTTGATTCAAAGAAAAGTAATGAAATAAATCTTTAAACGATGATAATTCCGACAGTAAAGCATCCGGCAGGTCTGGTGATGAGGAAACGTTTAAAAATATTTTATCGCACAGAATGAAGACGACATTGGAAGTTGTAGGGGGAAGTCTACACGCTTTTGCACACCTTTGCTTGTGACAAGTACTGAGAAGTGTTTTCATCCAACACACAGCTAAGCCACCGGTAAGGAAACGGACGGAAACGAAGACGCAACTCTCACTCCCGTACCAGGAAGACAAGGGCCGGCTCACCTGTAGGAGCTGCCGTGGCGGAAGCGCTGCCCACAGATGCTGCAGAGATGAGGCTTCTCCCCGCTGTGGATCCTCATGTGCTCCTTCAGCGTGGTTCTACGTTAAACACACGTTTAAACGAAAGGTTTACTGAACGCCAACGTGCACACGAAACAGACGCCCGCAGGCTCACCGGAAACGTGTCCAAGCCAACACTCTTCTTCTAGGACCAGTCTCCCCTGCACACAGTGGTCTCTCTCCTCTGACAAAACCAAAAGGGACAAAATCTGAACGTTGGGCCCCTTTGCCACTGGTTTGCTCATGGCTGAACTATCTATCTATCTATCTGTCTGTCTTACACAAAACCTGGAGAGGAATAAAGAGAAGATACGTAATTGAGACTGCTGAGTTGTTTTCCCATCTGCCTGGAAGATCAAACCCATAAGCCAGGATGTCCGCCGGGATCAGGCCCGGGGCTCAGTGCTTTCAGTAGTCAGAACGCATCCACCCTGCACTGCGCGCTGGGAGGGGGGTGCCCGCAGCCATGGCCCGAGTGGGGGGCGGAAGAATCCAATGACCTCCCTTCTCAAGCACCTTTACCCCATGCCCCCTTTTCTGCCTCTCCTTCCCGCAGGCTCCAGGGGGACCCCCTGCTGCTAGCCCTTGTGCCTTCTGTGGGTTCCATGATGTCAACTAGGCTCTCCATCCCTCCGATGCCTCCTTCGGTCCGAGACCTCAGTCAGGTACTGCTGACCCACTGGCTTTCTAGCTATAAACCTGTGTTGTTCTTGTTACCTTTCTCCTCGGTCTCTGCAGCTTACTGTCTTTAAGATAAATAAATAAGTGAATAAATGTTAATGTATGTCCAGTGGGGTTCCAGAAAAAGGCAGAATGGTACCTACATTACATTCACCATCTAAACTCACAAATCCTGGCTTTACATCATCGTCTAGAGCAGCGGTTCTCAACCTGTGGGTCGCGACCCCTTTGGTGGCCGAATGACCCTCTCACAGGGGTCTCCTAAGACCATCCTGCATATCAGATATTTCCATGACGACTCATCACAGTAGCAACATGACAGTGATGAAGTCGCCACGGAAATAATGGTATGGTTGGGTCACCACATGAGGAGCTGTATGTAAAGGGCCGGAAGGTTGAGAACCGCTGGTCTACAGCATTTTACATAATTTGTGTTTTACCTCTAACCCTGACGTTAGAGCATAACTCACGCACGCTGTGTCTTGCGTGTCTCTAGTCCTCACACACGACAGGTCTCATTTCCACACGCCGGCACCAGGACGCCCCTGCGTGTGGGGGCCCCTCACCTCTCTCGCACGGACTTCCCGCAGATGAAGCAGGTCCACTTTCTCTTCCCGCCGTGCGTGCACTCTATGTGGCGCTTCAGGTTCCCCGTGTCATTGAACTGGCGGCCGCAGATGTCGCACGGAAAGGGACCTGAAGGGGAAGAGCAGAGTAAGTCCAGGTCGAGGAGGAGAAACTGAGGTCAGCTTCCCCGGTGTGTGTGAGACCAGAGCGGCTGCGGGCGACCAGGGAACCGACTACCCGTGATGGGCATCTGAAGGGGAGGGCAGCCCGGAGGGATCTGACGCCCTCTCCAGCCAGCGTGTCGGCACTGAGTTCACCTGTGGGGCAGCCGGCTGGGGTCAGGGACCCGCCTACTGGTGTGGGGAGCCCCACACACATTTGGTGGCCAGAGGCTTCAGAAATGAAGGGTTTTGTGTGAACAGCGAAGGAGACTCAGGGGAGGAGGAAGACACAGTGGGTACGAACTGGGTTCCCCCTCCACGGGAGACTGGGCTTTCCCCCTCACAGTATGTGACAAATGGATGCCCACTCTCACAAGTGCATATGTCACGACACAATGCAATCATTTATTTATAGTTTTCTCTTCTCTTCCTAGAAGGCAGATTTATAGTCTTGTCTATATTCCTGGAATTGAAGACCCCTCAATTCCCAACGGAAGCTGTTTTTCCCGGAACTAACACCTAAAGAAACTTCTCACATGCAACACGCAGTCATGAACGTGCCTTCAACCACGGTTCTTACATTACACATATCGTAATAGTATGGAACCCATGCAACAGTAATTACAAAACCTGTTTCCATATGACGGCATCTTAGATGTGCTGAGATGAAATACTATGCTAGAACAACTTACTAAATGCAGAGAAGTCTAAGCAAAAAAAACAAAAATAAGCCCCCAGCAGACACTAGTGCTATATACGAGAATTGCAAAGCTGAAGTATTCCTGACCACACAATGGAGGCTTCAAAGTATTGGGAGATAGATGGTCAATCTCTCTTCCCAGACAAAATATCTCCCTACTTCCAAAAGCGTTTTAAGTCCTTCAAACATTTTAGTCCATGAAATAACTGTACGACCCTAGGTCACCATGGTCACCCACCTCTAGAATATGTATTTGTCAATTTCCATCTTGAATGTGGTATCGAGAAATGTCATGTTCCAGATGAAGTTAAAATCGGTGAGATGACTACCTCCTAATTTTGAACAATATATTTTTATTAGTATAGTTCAAAGCTACACTGGTTTCCGTCAAGTCCTGTGACACTGGTTCGGATTGTGCCTTGAAAGTCTCTGCTATTAATCCCAGCTATAAAACAAGAGTTGGGATTTGGACCATTTTACAGTGTCCCCCATGACCAAAAGTCAGATCATCCCCATGCCTACGACTCTGCATTTATTCTTAAATAAATGTAACTTAATTTGTTTTAACCTTTTGTCCAGTAGTTTTCTTTTTACATTTTTATTTTCTACTGTATTTATCACCCCTACCAGCTTCACATTAGCTACACGTTTCCTGAGCACGAGGCACGTGTTTGCATCCAAGTCGTCAATGGGAACGCTGAACAGGAAAAGCTCTCCGCCTGGCATGACAATAACTCATCTCGGGGGTTAACTATGGTGACTGCGCCTCACCGCACGACCAGCAGGCCACAGTCTCCACACGCACTGGGGAGAGAATTCACCCAACACGATACTGAATTCCAAGCAGACGAAGTCTATTGCCCTCCCTGAAAAATGAGTTTTTTTCCAACACAAAGAAGCCGTAACCCAACCACTCCCAAAGCTATCCAACTGTCAACGGTGAGTAAATGCCATTTAGAACCACGGAAAGATCTGCCACCGAAACAATCAACAAACAGACGTATTTCCTGGTCTCCAGGAACTGCAGGACACGCAGCTCCCCGCCCGATCCACACGACTCTTCCTCCTCCTCCCCCTCCTCGCTGTGTGACTGCGGCAGGTCCCCGCACGCTGTGGTCACCAACCGCAGCCACTGCTTCTGGAAGGAGCCATCTGCTCACCCAGATGGAACTTTTCCTGATGCTTTAACCGGGCGAACCGTGACTTGAAATGCTCTTCGCAGTAGGTGCACTTGAAGGGCTTGTCCTGGGAGTGCAGGATCATGTGTTCCTCCAAGTGAGGCCTCCGAGTGAAATATTTCTTGCAAATCTAAAAGAACGTGCACACAAGATGTAAGGGGACCCGAATTGGAAATTAAAATACAAATCTCGTGATGAGGAAGAAACCCACAAATTCAAGTAGATTAAAAAAAAATAATAATGTGCTGACAGTGCTGCTCCGGGGCCTAAAAAGGCCTCTAGTTTTGGCCGAGGCTTCTTGGATCCTAGCCGCCATGCCAGAAGGAAGCTCAAGTAGCCCCACCAAGAGACCAAAGCAGAGAAGACGCCCAACACCGAGTTGCCAGCGCTGTGAGTGAGCCACTTTGGAAGTGCCCCAGACCAGACCAGATCAGACCACCCACTGGCTGCAAAGGACTGAGTGACGCCAGCTAAAACCACGTGGAACAGAAGAAGCACCTTGCGAAGTCCGGCCCCAGAAAATGGTGAGAGACGATAAAATGACTGTTTAAGGCCACTAGGCCTTGAGGTGGCTTGTTATGTAGCAACAGATAATCAGAAATGGAGGGGAAGTTCTAACATTTGATATGCACGGGCGATAGTGGTGTCACAGTTTACACACACAACTTCAAGTTCAAGGCATGGTGATCACAGTAAAATAAAGCCAGGACTATATCTGTCAGGTTCATCACCAGCCTTAATTTGTCAAACGTAGGATGTCATAGCTAAAAGGCAGGTCTAAAAGGCAGCTACACTAAGTTTGTGTTACATGCAAGTCTGATTACTTTCCCCAAAGGTACCATGACATTTAGCTTTGTTTTCTAATACAAATGAAAAGCTATTACCTCACATTTCCAACTTTCACTCTTTGTCTTCCTAATGGAAATAAACTCTTGTGCATTTTCAGGATGAAATCTGGAAGAGAAAAAGAAAAGGATGATTAAGAAAAGACTGTATTAGTTAAATCAACATTCCATATAACCTGTGGACAGTGATTACAAAAATCAAACAGATTCCTTTCTTACAGAGAATGACACATGAGTATGTTAAGAATATACATGTCACTTCATGAAGTGAATGCATATGCCTAAATTTATGCAGATGTTGTAAAAAAGTCTAAACAGACGTTAAATACATTCAGGGACCTAGCTATTCAGAGATAATCTTCAAGGTGATTCACTTAATTTCTGTGGGTTTTTTTGTCCAGATTTCAGTAAATTTAACATCTTATGAGTTAAATATTCTCTCTCACAAATTCTTTATCAACTAAAGACAAAGTTGAGCATGAGGAATAAGCCTCCTAGGGTTCTAAAACCCTCCCTGGAGTTCTAAAACCGTATTATTTTGAAAACAACCTTGCCCAAACCCAAGGCAGAAAACAAGATAACTAAACGCTGTATCTGAAATGTCTACAGACAAAGGAGCACGTTTCGTCAAAAACCTTCATCTCAACAGCCTGAACAAAAAATGTCAACAAACCAACACTCGCTGCTCTTAACCAGTTTACAGTCCGCAAAACACGAAGCCATGACGGCACTGGGGACAAGCCCCCCTCCGCCGACGCAGCCGGCGACCTGCGTGTTTCAGCCGGAGGGCGCGGTGAGTGCGTGGCGGAAGCGCGGCCGTACTTGCCTCTTCACGTGCTTGGCGAGCGTCTTCCTGCTGGCGTGGAGCTTATGACAGTAAGGACACTTGTGCTCCTTCTTATGAAAGTCGGTGTCGCTGCTGTGCTTCTTCCTGTGAACAGTCAGGTTATACTTTGTCGAATAGCGCTGGTGACAAATATCACACTCAAAGGGCTTCTCACCTGTGTGCACACGTGTGTGGCTCTCGTATTTCCCTAGGAAGAGAGAGACGGCAACGTTAAACTCCGTGCCTTCACCGCAGTGACTAGAATTTGATGGTGGGGGGGAAAAAACAACCTCATGATTCATAGCCTAGTTAATACACAGACCCACACCCACACCCACACCTAAAGGAAGTTTACCTAAACTTGTAACTTTGATCAACCTCAGCGACTTATTGTTCTGAGCTTACTGCTCAAGACGCCTTCCCTCGAAAACCTGGGCCACCCCTCCCGTGTTCGAGGGATGAGTCTGATCCACGCCTTTATGACTCTTCGACATCACAAGGAGCGGGCAGGTTTTACCAAACCAGAAGGAAGCTCGCTGCGCTTTAGATCAGCGCTCCACACATCCTGGGGCCGTGAGGAGGGCTGGGGGTGGAGGGAAGGGACAGACGCAGTAGAAGATGCCAAAGTGCGTTCACACTCGCTGGCTTGTCAGAGACACGCAACTACACCAGATTCATGACTAACAGGAGCAGCTCGCATTCCTCCAACACCTTCTCCATGTCATCCGCTGTAAGCAATTCCATCCTCATGGTCACCCCAGGAGAAGGTGCCGTCAGCATCTCCCCCACTCTACATACAAAGGGCAGAAGGTGAAGGAACTTGCCCAAGAGCTGGATTCAAAAATGCAGGCGGTGGGACATCCCCCACAGCCCATGCTTTTTTAACTGGGATGTTATAATATCAACTGCCATCTCTAAGTTCTGGGGGAGAGAACACAGCCCCAATGAGGCTAAGGGGGGAGGAGGGTGTGGGATGAGAGGGAGGGGTAACGTAAAATACACTCCGAAAGGTAGGCTGGAAATAGGCCTGCAATGCGACCAATTTATTCCCACAATTACCTGCGCTGCCCTTGGATTAAAAAGCTGCCAAAAGCTAATATATCAGGACCTTCATCTTGAAAAGTATTTTCCCAAATGATGTGCAGGGAACTTTCATCTCTTGGGGCAGTGAAAGAAGTACACCCCAAAAGTGTCTTGTGATAAAATTACTGCAGGAAATGCCAGGTTATGTAAAGTGAACAGGTTTCTTCGCAGGGCCTTGGACAGGTAACACAGGGGGAATGACAGCACCGGCCTCCCAACCTAACGTCCACGGAGAACTCCTCTCGGAAGCACCTCACAGTCCGAGGTCTGCGTGCTGGGCTCGCAAGGCCGTTTGTGACCTGACTCCCTGCTCACTCCTCTCGAGTCAAATTAGGTCAAATGAAGGCAGAATACGGGAGGCACGAGTGAAGAATCCAAAGCCTAAGAAATAAAATCTATTGGAAAGATGACATGTTCCCGGGTCTCTCCATGCAGAGATGGCGTTCTCCCCCCTGCACCCCGCACAGCATTCGTGGAGAGCTCTGCAGGAGCGACTATTCACCCTGAGGCAGCTAGTTCACCTGTATGTCTGTGCTCTTCCCACTGGGTTACTCAGGAAACGTTGTATTATTCGTGTTTGTACAGAGCCGCACAGTAAAAATCGAGATAAATGATTAAACTGGGCTGTCAAAAGTATTCTCCTTTGGAGTGACGAATATTCAGAGGCATGATAAAAAGCAAAAGGATGTTAGCGCGGCTGTGCCAACAGTATACTGTCGCCTATTTGGAGAGGAAATGATTACCAGTCCCTTATAAAGCCAATTTCCACCTATAACCAGTCACATGAGTACCTCAACCCTGCCAGACACAGGGGGAGAGATTAAAACTGAGTAATTTTACGAAGTCAGGTTGCACTCACATGTTCCTTTTACCGTTTTATGTGGTAGACTACATTTCACAATTTCACAACTTTGAATTATATGGAAAATATCAATTGTTGCAGTTTAGAAGTCCACATTAGAAAAGTTCATATAAGAGGCCTTCAAAACTTACTGTACTAGCAAATATGAGATATCTTAAATACTCACTGGCATAACTTTAACTCAAGCTGACAGACCACATTTCCTACAGAGACTTTTCTAATAAGGGAAAAGGTGATGTATTCATTATTACAACAACCAAAGAATCTACTAACTAGGGCACTTCCTAAAGGCTCGTCCGACAAAATTAAATTGCAATCAGTACAGCTTTACGCTCAACTATATAACAGTCTAGTCCAAAACCTACTGACTAAACAATGCCCAACACTGGAAAAGTGATGTTTCTAACTCACATGTTACCAAGTCCAAGAGGAAAAGGTAAATGCATTATTGGATTAAATCTAATATGACCTAATCCAATTTTCTATCATGACTCAAAAATAGCACTTATCTATGAAATCGAATTAGCATATAAATCAAATCTCTACATGCACCATAACTGATGCTCTGGAGATTCTCAAACCAAACACACGAACCAGTCACCTGCCGCCTGCTGTCAGGACACGAGGAAGAGACAGTAAAGCCTTATGAATGCATAATTCCTGAATCACGACAAATTCAAACAAACAGGATAAAATATGTACTGGGAACCAAGCACCCACCCCAGTGAAGTATTCTTTTTAAAATTGACTTTCCAGCCCTAACCGGTGTGGCCCAGCGGATAGCGCGTCGGCCTGCGGACTGAAGGGTCCCAGGTTCGATTCCGGTCAAGGGCATGTACCTTGGTTGCAGGCACATCTCCAGTAGGGGGTGTGCAGGAGGCAGCTGATCGATGTTTCTCTCTCGTCGATGTTTCTAACTCTCTAACCCTCTCCCTTCCTCTCTGTAAAAAATCAATAAAATGTATATTAAAAAATAATAATAATAAAATTGACTTTCCAAGTCCAGTTTTTAGTCATGGCCTTCAAAACACCCCTGAAAACGAAGTTATTAGAGACAGAAGTGCGACAGGCTCTCTCTTCTTACCTATCCGGTCGAAGGTTTTATCGCATATGGGGCACTGCAGGGTTTTTTTGTTATTTATCTGAATGATCACGGGAGATAACCCGTCCTGAATACTTCCTGCAGAATCGCCGGTCTCAGGTTCTTCTTCCTCCTCCTCCTCCTCCTCCTCCTCCTCTTCCTCCTCCTCCTCCTCTTCCTCCTCCGCACCATTCGGCTCCTTGTCACTTGGCTCTTCGGTGTCCGAGAACTCATCCGACATCTCCTCTAGCTCATCTTCCTCGGCGTTCCCTTCGCTCCCCGGATCCTCGGAATCGTTCCTATCGGGCTTCCCCTTCTCGAAACGATCTCGGTTCAAGCTGTCTGACCCGTCGCCACCTTCTCGTTTGTCATCGCCGGCGGCGGCGGCGGCGTCTTCGAACTTCACGGGGCACCTCCGGTTCCTCTTGGACCTCCTGGCGGAAAACCCTCTGTCCAGCATGTTTAGCCCATGTTTTTTCCCTAAGAAGAGGGACCTGTGCGTCTTGGCCAAATGGTTCTCTAAGGACTTCTTGTAACAAAAGTGTCTGCTGCAGAAGGTGCACCGATGGTCATCCGACAGCCGCCCCCCGGTCAACCCGCTCAGCGACTCCTCCGGGGGCGGCTGCTCGAGGCGCTGGGGCTGGAACGGGGGGTGGTGGACGTCTTCGCTGTTGAGCAGCTTGACCGCATCGATGATGTCCAGGAACTTGGCGGCCTCGAGGACCAGGGGGATCTCGTACTGGGACACGAAGAACTCGGCCGTGTAGAGGAACTCCAGCAGGTGCCGGAAGACCGAGTGCGGCACGTGGTCCAGGATGACCACGTCCGTGCTGGGGTTCTTGCTCAGGCACGCGTGGAAGTAGCTGCTGCCCACGGCCACCACCACCTTGTGGGCGCTGAACTCCTTCCCTTCCACGATGATGAGCAGGTCGCAGAAGGACGGCTGCTTCTGCCGGTCGGCGTTCAGGTAGGCGAGCAGGTTCCGGCGGTACTGCCAGGAGCTCAGGAGCTTCCTCTGATCGGGGGCGGCGGCGGCGGGAGGAGGCGGCGGCGGCGGCGGCGGCGGTGGCGGGGACGGGGGCAGGTCCCGGTAGCAGCGGAGAGCCTCCGGGGCGGCTGGTCTCCGGGCGGCGCGGGGGGCGTAGGTCAGCGGGTCCCGCGCCCCGGCGGCAGCGACATGCCCCTCGGGGGGATCGCGGTGACAGCCCAGGCGGATCTTGTCGTCAAGGCTGAGAGTCGCCTTTCTCCTCTTCTTCATTGCAGGGCGACGGTTTCGGGGCGAGAAACTTCATGAAGTGGCTGGAGGGAGGTAGCAAGGGGGGAAATAAATAAAATAAAATAAAAAACTAGATTGTCTTGGGTATCGGCTACCGGAGGGGCGTGCCCGAGGGCTTCGTGAGCTGCAAAATAAGGGGGGAAAAGCGTTAGATGGCAAACCCAAGCCCCTCGCCCCACCCGACGTCACCCGAAAGGACGGCCAGGTCGCAGCGTCCACTCCCTCGGGGCTGAGACCTCAGGGCGGGGAGCCCCGCGGGCCGCGTCCGGGGAGACAACCCACAAAGGACCCGCGGGGGAAGCCCGTTCGCACCCCGAGGGCCCGCCGCGCGCACGGGGCGCGGGGCAGGAGGGGCGCCCGCGACCCCCGAGCGAGGGGGCAGGTGGGCGCGGGGCTGGTGACAATAAGGCCTGCGCCGCCGCGGCACCAAGTCCCCCCGATCACACGCTGTTGTGGGGCGCGTAAGGCTCCCCACTTTGGAGAATCAGCGCGCCCCGCGGCCGACACCGCCCCGCGGAGGCGCCACCCCCGGAGCGCGCGGCGCAGGACGAGCGGGGTCAACCTCCGGGACGACCCCGTCAGCACCGGCGCCTTCGCAGGCCCAGCCCCGGCGGGGACGGCGCGCTCGCCGGCGGCCAACCCGTTCCCGTCCCCACCCCGGGGTCCTCGGGCCAGCGCCCCGTAGAGCCCTTACCGGGAACCCGGGGCTGCCCCGCTGGCTGCCGGCCGCCGCGCTCCACTCCCGGCGCGCTCGCTCCAGCGCCGACCCACTTCCGGGTTCAGCCCCCCTCCTCCCTCGGCGTCGGCCCCACCGACCACGTCACTGCGCGCGCCGCCGCCCAGCCTCCCGGCTTCCCAGCGCGCGGCCCGGCGCCGGCCACTGCGCATGTGCGCGCGCCCAGCTGTGCGCAGTCTCCGTAAGCCCTCCCCGCCCGCCCGGGGAGTCCGGAAAGTGCGCATGTTCCGTAAACCTCCCCGCCCGCCTGGGGAGTCCGGCAGTGCGCATGCTCCGTAAGCCCTCCCCGCCCGCCTGGGGAGTCCAGCAGTGCGCATGCTCCGTAAACCTTCCAGGCCCGCCCTGGGAACCTAGCAATAACCCAAATCTGTGCTCCGGGTTTTCGGGGCGATTTGCCGGCTTGCAGGGATTGAACCCCTCAAAACCCCGCAGGGAGCCTTGTTGGGAAAGGGAAGCGGGCCGGACGGATGGGAACTGGGGAGCCATGGGCAGGGCCGCTGGAGCACCAAGGATCGCACCTCCCTGTGTGCAGCCACCCACGGAGCCGGTCCCCAAACTCTGCGTCCGAGGAACCCACGTGGACGGCGTTTCCTTCTTTTTCTTGAGTCAAAGAGCTAACGCGGCTGCTCCTGAAATTATTCTTTAAATTCTTACTGTGCACAGAAGACACGGGGAAGTGTCCGTATAAATATAATACAAGCCGGGAGGGCAGGAAGGGGAGCCAAAACCAGAGAAAAGTGATGTGCTCTCTCTGAAATATGTCTTTATTAAACACACCGTCAGGGATATTCTTTCAGAAGATATTCAATAGGTGCGTGTGCATGTGATCTGACTTTATCTTCCAGTTAAAAAAAAAATGAAGAGTTTTGAAGCTCTTTTACTTGCCCAACATTTAAAGTCATATTTACTTATAATAGACTCAAACTCAGAGCAACTTTCCGGGACCCAGAGGAAACGAATAGCGACAGAGGTACATTAGTGCAGGTCATAAAACATCGGCACATCAAAACGTTTTAGATAAAAGCACATTTGAATATCGCAAGCCTGCCTGCAGTGCAGCAACAGCCTAAATGTTTATGGGTAAACTTTTTTTTTTCCACTGGGGGGTGCAGTTGGTCAGCATATCCAGATTTCCACAGCTCCTTTCGTAAGTATACTTCATAAATAAATAATAACAAAGAGGTGATTATTTCCAAGACACTGTAGGATGTGGAGCAGAAAGAAAAAGGGGGGGGGGGGAGAGAGAGGGAGGAAAGGGAGGGAGGGAGGAAGGGAGACAGAGAGAGAGAGAGAGAGAGAGAGAGAGAGAGAGAGGGAGGGCCTCCTCTATTTCAGTGTTCTTTTCTGAGCCCTGGGTCTGTTGGCCAGGCTTCTCTCTGTCGTCCCATCTCCTTACATTTGCTTCCTACATCATGCCCAGGGGTTTTCATTAGCGAAAGGAAGAGGGACACGTACACCCCTTCCACTTTTCCTGGAAGAGGTTCCAAGATTTCTTTTTTTAAGTCGTTGGGGGGGGGGGGGGAAGCACAAAAGAAAAATAAAATTCCATGACACACGAGGATCCGATGAAATGCAAAATTCAGCGCCTGTCAAGTTCCAAGTGCCTATGGCTGCTCTTGAGTTGAGTCGTGGCATCAGAGACCGTCTGCTCGACACACCCTAACATACGTGCTATCAGATTCTTTACCGCCATCGGCTGACCCCTGGGAATAATGGGATGAATGAGAGCCTTTTACTAACAGAGCTGGAAAGAGTGCCTCCTCCATCAAGACTAACAGGAAGAGACTGGAAATCCGGGTAGCTTCTACTCACTTGTAGGCCCTGGGGAATATAGGCGAGGCTGGAATGTTGGTCAGGAAAAATGATACTGCAGTAGAAGATTTTTTTTTGTCCTCCTATTAGTATTTTCGTCACGTTTTGACATCCCTGACGTGACTTATTATCATTTAATTGGCGGCATTTTTTCTCTCTCTTTGTGATACATAAAATGAGGGCGCACCTTACGAAGGATGGTGTCTTCCACTCAATGAAACATGTCACTGGTCTGGAGTAATCACAAGTAAATCCTTTGCAATGAAAATATGTACATTGTTTCACCTCCTCCGGTTAGATTGAATAACTCCTGATTAAACATTGACCTCAGAGTGGCTCTTTTAACATTCTTGTTCGCGCAAATCCTTCTTCCAATTAAATGAATTTCCAGCAAGGTCTGATACAAACATCGTGACATATTTTTTTTTCTACTTACACAACGCCCTCCAAGAAGCTTGCACGCTTCCCAAGAACATGCCTGCTTATGATGACACATGTTTTTGTGTACCTGTCATTTTTATCGGCACGTGGGAGTCCTATAACCAAGGTTGTCACTGTCAACGTTGACCCTCTCTTCATTCTCAGAGCCATAAATAGTGAGTCCAAAACTACGTTTGAAAGGCAGGATGCAAGAAAAAAAGAAAAAAAAAAAACACAAAAAAACCCCATCGTATCATTTCCCACTCATCTAACCCTTCCAGGACGCGTCGCAGTTAGAAGACAGTTATGGGCACAGACAGATTTCCCGATTAGCAGGTTCATTAGGGAGAAGGTACAGAATACTCATCGCAAGACGTTCATTCACGCTGACAAGGCCTGACCCGGTGGGCACTCACTCATCAGTGACAGTGGAGCTGCTCCCTGGTGGAGGCAGCCACGGGCCAGGCAGGGAACACGCGTTCCTCGTGGAGGAATGCATCCGACGGAAGCAGGCCCCCCACCGCATGCCCCTGCTTCTGGGAACTCCCCAGGGAGCAGCCAGCTCTTCTTCAGTCCCTTTGTTCGCGCTGCAAAATGCTCAGGGGAAGTTTGCATGTTACCGCAAAGCAGTTTAAACTTCCAGCTCTGGTGAGAAGCATGATTCTGCACCTTAAATCATCGCATTGGGCCTGGACGGTTTTGCTCAGGGGTTAGAGCGTTGGCCCTCGGACGTAAGAGCCGCCGGTTTGATTCCGGTCAAGGGCACATACCTGGTTACAGGCTGGATCCCTGGTCCTGGGTTGGGGTGCGTACGGGAGGAAACTAATCGATGTCTTCTCTCTCACACATCCATGTTTCTCTCTCTCTCTCTCTCTCTCCCCCTCCCTTCCACTCTCTCTAAAAATCAATGGAAAAAATATCCTTGGGTGAGGATTAACAACACCCCTCCCCCCCAAAAAAATAATCAAATTGATCCTGAGTAGCTCCTTTGGTCAATACAAACTCTATAAGCACGGGGTGTACTCAGCTATTAACTCCGTAGTAATTGTGTTACAAACTCTTATATTTTCATTTTTCAATATCATGACACCCAAAAAGGTTACTCTATGAATATCAATCAAAATCACATATTTTAAGCCCAGAAGGATATTTTCACATTATGATTATAAAATGTGTATTTATTTAATGGCGCTTTTTCCAAAGGGCAGAATGTTCAATGATATATGCCCTTCTCCTATATTGGCTGGAGGCCTACAGCCTGTCCCCACCCCTCCTCCTGCCCAGAGGACCACAATTCCTATTACCCAGATGATCCCACTTTTCATAATAAATGACCATGAATTGGGAGTGGGGGGTGGAGAGTGAAAAGAGAGAATGTGGAGAGAAATGGAGGACGGGGGAGAGATTGGTAGACGTGGCAAAAGGCCTCGACCTCCAGGAACGTTCCTTCTCTCGGCGCCAAAGCTAAAATGAACAGATGGGGAGCCAAAGGTGCTGAGGGTCACAAGGACCCCCAGGTGTGGCCCTGGCCAGGTAGCTCGGATGGTTAGAACATCCTCCTGGGGCACCAGGGTTTCGAGTTGGATCCCAGGCCAGGGCACACCCAAGAATCAACCAATGAATGTATCAATAAGTGGAACAAGGTGGTGGTTATGGACAAGTGGACACAGGATCAAAATCTCTAACAAACTATAATTTTTAGTACTTAAGTATGTGATGTTTCATTCTAGGAAATAAGAAACAGATGATATCATCGATGTATCTTCCTTTCATCTTCAGAATTTTTGCATCTTTTCAGAAAATGACAAAAATACTACTTTTCTGTTTCGCTCCGCAATTGTGACGATACTGAAAATTCTTTTTTTTTAATATATTTTATTGATTTTTCACAGAAAGGAAGGGAGAGAGATAGAAAGTTAGAAACATCAATGAGAGAGAAACATCGATCAGCTGCCTCCTGCACATCTCCCACTGGGGATGTGCCCGCAACCCAGGTACATGCCCTTGACCGGAATCGAACCTGGGACCTTTCAGTCCGCAGGCCGACGCTCTATCCACTGAGCCACACCGGTTTCGGCTATACTGAAAATTCTTGTAGTCTGTAGAGATATCAATAAAGTTGTATATGTTTGTAAAAAAAAAATAAGTGGAACAACAAATTGATGTTTCTCTCACACACACACTCTCTCTGTGTGTGTCTGTGTCTCTGTGTCTGTCTCTTTCTTTCCCCCTAAATTTATTTATTCGTCTTATTTTCTCCCTTGTTTCCAGCAACAGAGAAACATTTAGAGGCCAAACTATCCTGGGAATGGAGCGGGGAGTCGGGGGAACGGTGGCGAACGGATGAAAAGCTAGCTCCTTGTCTTTCGGTGGTTACTATAGCAATCATCAGGATGGGAGACTGCTTCCCCCGAACGTGGTTTCTATAACAACGTGATGGGGGGCTTTAGAAACAGACCTGAGCGAAGAGATGCTCCAGGGGTCTCCCAACCCCGAGTAGACCACGGGATTAGCATCCTCGTAGGGGGCAGATATGCGCTGGCTTATTTGCTGGGAGCCTTAAACATATTGCTTTTATTTCCTGCAGATGAACGCACTCGATTGTCCCATCGAGACCTGGCTTTCGCTGATAGGGTCTTAGGACCTCTTCCTTTTGGAAAATAATGGAAAACCTCCTGACTTCGTGTCTCTATCATGGCATCAAAATAGCCTTAAAGCGCCTTCTCTCCCTGTGTCGCCCTCCAACGGGGAAAACGGTAACTATCCCTCGTGACCACATCTGCCAATTCTCTCCCAGGTCTCCCCAAGGTTGCTCTAGGCCAGCGGTTCTCAACCTTCTGGCCCTTTCAATACAGTTCCTCATGTGGC